CAAGCACTGAAATTACAGTCTGCATCACCTAAAATAAAATTACTTAAGACGGTGGCTATTATCTCCAAGCTCTCTAAGTTGTGTTCTGCAGAAGAGAAACATATTGTTGACCTGTGCTGCCAAAGAAACAATATTTTCCTTGCTGGTGGAGACGTAACTAATACATCAGCTGACAGAATTTTAGATTCACAAAAGTCTCTACAGGCTTAAACCAACAGGCTCAACCTTACAAGAGGAAATTGCAGAGAGGTAAATGTCAACCTTTGAACTGAGAATTAAATTACCAAATGGATAAATCCAGGACAGAGGAAACCTAGCTTAAGCCCATATCAAATGTCTTAGAGTTTAAGTTTATCCCAAGTTCCATGTGCACCATTAGTGACATAGCTATCACATGCCCTTGAAGCACACAGAGTGTAGAAATGGAGGTTAAATGCACAGAAGAGAAAATACGAAGGTCAAGTGTATTCTACGTTGGTCACGCCTCACACGTGGTACGTCGTTCAGTTCTGAGAGTCACATTTTACCAGGGATGTCATGTGAGGAATAGCTAGGAACCTGGGATGTTTGGATTAGAAGGAGAACCAGCGGTGGCAGCAGGGTAGGGTGGAGAGGGAGAAACCCTGTGGTAGCTATTTCCATCACATGGAGGTGGGAAAAGATTTGTTCTGAGTAGCTCTAGAGGACTATGTGGATTTGCAGAGAGAAATCTTGTGACTCAATATATCAGAAGCACTTTCTAATGGAATTTTTCAGACTGATTGGACTGATTTATGAGGAAAGATCCTTGTCACTGGGACACCTAAGCAAACGTGTTTGGGTGGGGATTTTTATTCTGGAGGGGAGGCTGACCTCTCTGCCTTGGCATCTGGGATTCTGAAATGGGTTACATGGCTGTAAGCTCACAGAAAGTGAAAAGGAACTAGGCTTGCTATTATATACAGGAACACATCTCTCCTTTCTCTCTCTCAGTGTCATTTTGCAGTACTGTGGTTTTAGGCTTCAATTTTAATCTTATACATTAAAATCTTTAATCTTGACCCTGAAGTACAATCTAACGACAATAAAACATATATGGAAAATATATTTTTAAAGCTATGTAGCATAAAGGGGAGATACATGTGTATATAGTCTACGGCTAATTTCTTAACTTCAAAAATTAGTAAAAGAAACAGCTATAATTAATATTATGGTCACCAGTTAAATTGTTTGTTTCTCATAATTTGCACTTCCTAAATGATAATTGGTATCAGTTAGAGTTTGATGTTTCTGATGGCGATTGAGAAATCCAAGAGCTATTATTCACATGGAGCAAGAAAAGAGATTCTTTACAAAGCTGTCATTTAGTATTATACCACCATGGAATAGATTAACTGAAAGAAGAAAGAGTGTGCAAATGTCAAAGAATTAGCATCTGCTCCCACCTCACTGTAGTTGATTTTGTTCGTTCTCGCCAAGGTAATCTCTGGTGTGTCTGGCATCATGTGGATCTGGGTCTTGTCTTTGTCCCAGGCTTCTGTGTATAAACGCTATCAAAGACAACATATAATCAGGGAAAAAAAATGCAGTTTGCAATTAATAGGAATTTCAAGGTCACAAGAACTTTTTTCAACCAAATAAGAAAAGATTATGCATTTTATACACATTAACCTAGGTTGGCATCTTGAAGTAATTACTTCACAGTAAGACACATTTATATACTATCTTCTGATAATCTAAAATATATGCTAACATTTTTTAAAGTGAGAATAAGCATCATTATGCAAAGATTGTATTTCCAGAAAAATATGCCATGTTATAAAAACCATGAGATGAAAACATCAAGTAAATATCAAAACATAAATGTGACAAACAGACAGACAGATAGATGTCTTTTGTGGCTCAGTGCTCTATTTCTTTCTTTTCTCAATGATGCTTCCTTTTCTTTGATTCAGCTTTAAAAGCCTCTCTAAATTTTTTAAAAAAATTTTTTATTGTACTTTAGGTGCAGGTTTACAGAACAAATAGTTTCTCATTAAACAGTTAGTACACATATTGCCTCATGACAATGGTTAACAACGCAATGACATGTCAACACTGTCCCTTCTCAACCTTAGGTTCCCTATCACCAGCTTTCCTGTCCCCTCCTGCCCTCTAGTCCTCGTCCCTGGACTGTTGTCCCTCATTAGTCCCATGCCTCTCCAAATTTTGAAGCCTCACCTTGTTCATGTTGATGGCATTGTTCTTGGCCAACACTTGTTCCAGAGAATCAGTCACACTGGTAAATTTCAGTGTGTCTGGAGGCTGGCGGTAGATTTTATCACTCAAAATTTCGGTTGCTCTTTTGCATTTTTCCACATCTAGAGAGCCGAGGGGCACCCAGCCAATGCCTCTCAACCATTGGAGATCTGACTTGTACAAATTCTGTTGATACAAATAGTCAATAAATATCTAGCCCTGCATTAGAAAAGCATTTTCATTTAAAGGATACGATGTAAAGTAAAAACACTCTTGAAAATATTGTTTGGTGGACAAAGGAGGGTGATGTTGTTATTATTGTTAGTTGCCATCAAGTCGATTCAACTCATGGCAACCCCATGTGTTACAGAGTAGAACTGCTCCATAGGGTGTTCTTGGTTGTAATCTTAATGCAAGCAAATCACCAGGCCTTTTCCTGTGCAGTACTGCTTGGTAGGTTTGTACCGCCAACCTTTAGCAGTCAGCTGCAAACTGTTTGCACCCCCTAGGAACAGGCTGGGTATTAAGCAGTATTCTTTTTTGGTACAGAGGGTTAAAAACTTAACACTACAAGGAAAGCATGCTATCCCACAGCCCCTTTGCAGAGGCTGGTGAGCTTGGTGCCATCTATTGCTTGCTTTTCCAAGGGATTTTAATTCACTGATTTCTCAACTTTGCATGCGATTTTAATGTCACTACTCACGTCGCTCTGGAGGTCGTAGGCCTGCCGAGCGTGGATGACGTTGTTTTGGTCAGGCAGGCATGTCCACTGATGCAGGATGTTTCTATAGTCCACGTCACTGACCAAGGCCTGAGAGTTCTTGGCCAGGACCACCCCCAGCATGTCTACTGGGCTGCTGAACTTGGTCTTCCACTTCTCAAAGTCCTTCTTGTACTCCCTGTCACTCTGGATCTTGGCCACATGCATGGACCACATCATCTTCGGGTCATCATGAATAGCTCGGGCACCAATGTGGTGGCCAAGTTGCTGGCGATAGCCTTGTTTGTATTTGAACTAGAAGAAGAAAAAGTCTGATAATCACCTATTTTCACTTTTAGTAAAAATCAGCTATTAAACTCAAACATTACTATTCATTAAAAAAATGATTTTTCTCTCAATACGTAAGTAATACATGCATCTTGTAAACCACTTAGAAAATGAATAAATGAATAAGTAAATTAAGTTTACATAAGCACAAAAAAGAAAATGAAATTAAGACATAATTCTGTCACTAGATCATTGATAAAATAGCTACCTTTTTCTGGTGTGTGCGTGTGTGTGTGTGTGTGTGAAAGAGAGAGAGAAGAAGAAAATGAGAATAGGAGTCATGTTGTATATAGGATTGTGCCTGCAATTTTCAGTTATAGTAAATATTATTCACAAATTTTTTTAATGATAGCAGGTGTTCCGTCATATGGTTATACTATATTTTATCCTTCTCTTGGGTAGAATATTTACTTTTAAATTATTCCCATATTTTGGAAAAAATATAGACAAAAGAAACGGAAATATAAACACTTCTAGAAATACGAGCAAATCTATCTTGCAGAGATAAACAGAAGGTCCTCATGAATAGTTGGGCTTTGAATAGAATAATGTGACCTATTCATTTAGTCCTTCTAAGTTTATTGGTTCATAGAGCATGTGTTGAGTTTTGAAGAAAGCCTAGCAGAAGTTCAATTTTATACAAGATTACACGTACTGTGGAAAGTCAGAAAGATGCCTGAACACTGAATTTCTGCTATGGGTGATGGAAAAATTTGAAAATGGATAATGGTGATGGTTGAACAACACGATAAATATAATTAATGTCATTGAATTGTATATGTGAAAAATGTTGAAATTACATGTTTTGTTACATATATTTACCACAATTTAAAAAAAAAGATGTCTGAACTATAATCAAGTAGCCAATGCTTTTGTTGAGCAAGACATGTTTTAAAATGCTTGTTGTTATGTACACAACTGTACCTAGAATTTAGCCTTTGTGTGAAGAATTTCATTACCATTATTTTAAACTATTTACTGAAAAAGAAACTGTTAGCAAGATCTTTAACCTCATAGCTTACTTGCTATATTATAGATTTCAGAGACAGAAACAACTTTTCAGAGGTACTTACTTCGCTTGCAATATCTCTGGAAGCCTTGGCTGCCTTGATGGGAATGGCGTCTAGGCGCACATCACAGCCTCTCTTCCTGGCTTCTTCTAGGCCAAATTTATATAGTTTCTAAAAGAGACATAAATAATCCTAAATTTGGCTTATAAAGTGCATTGTAAGGAAAATATATCATATACCATGAATATATTACTTACCTCACTATAGTTTATTTTGTTTTGTTTAGCTAGTATAACTTCAGGGGTATCTGGCATAATGTGGACAGTGGTTTTATCTTTATCCCAAGCTTCTGTGTAGAGGCGCTAAAATAAACAAAAAATGTTACTAGCTCCGGCCAGTAATGAATAGACACATTAAAATAGTTTGATTCTTAACAAGAATAAAGAGATTCTGCTCTGTGAGTTGGTATTTGTGACACCTTCAAGTCTAGATGTCTCATGTCATTAGAAGTACAAAACTTACTTATCAACCACTTTAAGATCAAGCAAAAATATTTGAATATGAATTTACTCTTACCGAAAGAGAGCGCAATGTTTCTACAAACAAACCAAAAATTAAAAACCCCCTCAAGCAAAGAAAGGACTTACGTGGTTCATGGTAATAGCATTGTTTTTTGCCAAAACCATTGGTATGGAGTCCATTAGGCTAGAAAACTTGAATTTATCTGGGTGTTGACGGTAAACGTGGTCACTCAAAATTTGGGCAGCTCTTTTGTTCTTCTCATCCTCAAGAGAACCACTAGGCAACCAACCAATGCCTTTTAGCCAGTGAAGATCGGACTTGTACAAATTCTGAAATTGCAAGTAGTGACAAACCACTTAACATACCATGTGCCCCCAAAGAAATAAAAATTTCATCATATATTTTAATGCTTGAGTTTGTGAGAAATTTGAAAGTCTTGGCACGTCTTCTGAACCAAGAAAATATTGAGGTTAGAAGCATATTTTTGTAAATCATTTAAGCAGAAATACATAGAGAAAGACACTCCACACAATAAAAGAGCCTTCCTCCAAAGCAATGGAGCATTGCTGGCTCTTTCTTTGAGGAATAATGGTGTTCTCTGATGTTTGGGTGACTGGATAGAACTTGGACATTAGTTCAAGGAAGTAGATCTCTATTTTGCAAATTCAACTCCCTTCACTTTGAGGGCACTTTGATACTTAGAGAAGCAGACATAATGTTTTGTTGGCTAAAGGAAAACCTTAGACTCACGTCACTCTGGAGGTCATAGGCCTGTCGAGCGTGAGTGACGTCGTTCTGGTCGGGCAGGCATGTCCACTGATGAGGGACGTTCTTGTAGTCTATGTCACTGACCAAGGTCTGGCACTTCTTGGCCAGTACCACCCCCAGCATGTCCACTGGGCTACTGAACTTGGTCTTCCACTTCTCAAAGTCCTTCTTGTACTCCCTGTCACTCTGGATCTTGGCCACATGCATGGACCACATCATCTTCGGGTCGTCTTCAATGTTCCGGGCTCCAATGTGGTGGCCAAGCTGCTTGCGAAAACCTTCCTTGTACTTGTACTAAAGGAAAAATATTGGTCTCATTTGTGGTAAGTTACAAACCACATTAACTCTAAGAGTTTTACTAAGAGCCTAGAGAGGCACATATTTCAGTTTTTTAATAGGAAGGATTAAAGGCTAAGTTCAACTACAAATTCCATATGTAATAAATGAATCCTTGATCTAACTCTCACCCCACACTGCATCTGTGGGATCATTTCACTCTGTTTTAATTTGTTACTCCTTAGAAGATTTTGTTCAATTTAAAATGAAATTAAGACTACTTTGAAGTTATAAGTGGCAATCAAATCAATATAAGCAGGGGATAAAGTCTTACTTCGCTGGCAATATCCCGGGATGCCTTTGCTGCTTTGATTGGTATGGCATCAAGAGGAAGATCGTAACCTTTTTTCTTCAACTCTTCATAGCCCATTCGGTAGAGTTTCTGTTAAGAGATAAAGAATTTCACCTTGGGAAAAAATGTTCTCCAAGTACAACTGCAGGATAATGGATCCAATGTGCTAAATATTTTAAGAGGATAGATCTGCATTCTAGAATACTCAAATGTAATTGGAAGTTATGCCCATTGATTGCTAATAATCCTGCCTTAAACTTTAAAGCTCTTCCATTGCCTGATCAACAAAACTGAATGTCAGCTATTCCCAAACTGATGGCTGAGTGGTTAAGTGCCCAGCTGCCAACTGAAAGGTCGGCAGTTTGAACCCTCCAGCTGATCCATGGGAGAAAGACATGGCAGTCTGCTTCCGTAAAGATTACAGCCTTGGGAACCCTATGAGGAGGTTCTACTCTGTCCTATGGAATTGCTATGAGTCGGCATCGACATGACGGCAATGGGTTTGGTTTTGGGTTTTTACTCCCAAATTCTTTGGCGAATGAGGCAGGAGAAAATTGATAGATAAATGAAATCAAATATCATCCAGGCACTGCTTTCCAATTACCTTTGAGCATCTTGTTAGAAGTTTTTGTCAGAAAACAAGACCAATGCCTTTCTATCTAACTCATCTAGTAGGAAAAAATTATGTCATTTGGGCTATCACTTTCATGTAGCTAATGCATTGTGAGATAGAACCTATTTTGCAATATACAGCCAACCAAAGTAGGGTCCACATCTGTGGTCCTTCATAATTTTTAAAATTTAAGATTTTTTGAGGTAAGTTTCAATATCGAATTTAAAAAGCTAAAGTAAAATAATTTGCTTCTTCGAACTTACTCCAACATTAAATAATCAAGAATAAACCAGATTGCTTTAATTTCTACTGGTCCTAAACTTGTGCTTGTAAATTTTAAAACTTTGCGACATTACTACATTTTTTTAATGTGAAAGTCATTCTATTAGAGTTGGAAGTTTGTCTTTAAAATATTTAATTTTTAGAACTATACATTTTAGAAGTTGATGCTATGATTACCATAAGGATAAAAACAAAATTCTTCTACATGGGTATTGTATGTTCATTCATTCAGAATTTCATTGAGTATCTACTGTGTGTCAAAGCAAATTGTCTCTGCCCTCAAGGAGCTCCCATACACGTAGGGATATACGTGATAACAGACTGCAAGGAGCAGAGAACCCAGGACTCCGATAACAGACTGCAAGGAGCAGAGAACACAGGACTCCCAACTCTGCCTGAGATAGGGAGTGCCAACATTTTGTTGTTCAAGCTAAAAGGCATTAAATGAGGAATCTAAGTCACCTGTAGTTTCTTAAAATGATTCAGGGATTCAAAAGAACTTCCAGATAACTTTATTGAGTTAGCAGCAATTACACTGAGCTTTTTTAAAACACATGCTGAATTTGATAACTTACATCACTTATATTGGTTAAGTTTGCCTTAGCCAGAATAATGCCAGGTGTATCAGGCATGATGTGGATTTGAGTCTTGTCCTTGTCCCAAGCTTCTCTATAAAGTCTCTAAAATGGGAAATAAGAGTTTTCAGTGGCGTTGTTAATGAATGACATAGCTAATTTCAAATGGGATTACTGAATACTTCTGTACTAAAATAAACTTTATAATCTATAACAGAAACATAACATAAACAGCAAACACGTACAGTATTCCTTGACTTATCTGGGACATAACTGCCTTTCAAAACATAGGTTATAGGTCACTGTTTTAAAGGTACAGATAATCCTGCTAATAGTAAATCAACCCAGGAAGTTAGAGCCTTTGCCAATATCATTAAATAGAAGAGCAGTTCTCCATCTTTTGGGTGATAAAAGTCCTCCTCAGTGTTTGATTGAGAGAAAGCCCTCACCTCCTCAAAAGAAGACATATTCAAGGTATGTCTAGAAATTAGGGAGTCTCATTTCTTATGTGAGGTATTAATTATAGTTATACTTCATAATTATTTGAGGGGATTAGAATTTCCAAAAGGACTTTATTTGGGAATTTATCTAAATCTTTTGGACCTCCCAGAGCCAGGGTTTCTCTGCAACAGAAGAGAAAGCGGCCTAAACAAAAATCTCATTGATTTACTAAAATTAGGGGGTGAACATTTGATGAGAAACAGGATATTTACATAATGTCAGAGAATCTCCTCACAAGAAACTGATTAATAACAAAGGTTAAAATGGTAACTCCACAGTGGTGAAACCTGGAAGACACCACTTTAACCAAGTGATCAAAGTTGATGTTATGGATTGAATTGTGTCCCTCAAAAATATGTGCTGTAAATCCTAACCTCTATGCCTGTGGTTATAATTCCATTTGGGAATGGATTGTCTTTGTTATGTTAGTGAGACAGAATTAATATAGGATGTGTTTTAAATCAATCTCTTTTGAGATATAAAAGAGATTAAACAAGCAAGTAAGTAAGCAGATGTGGAGAAAGAGAGAAGCCAAGCCACATGAAGATCACCCAGGAGCAGAAGCTCAAAAAGACATGGACCTTCCTCCAGAGCCAACAGAGAGAGAAAGCCTTTTCCTAGAGCCGGCACTTTGAATTTGGACTTCTAGCCACCTACACTGTGAGAAAATAAATTTCTGTTTGTTAAAGCCACCTACTTTTGATATTTCTGTTATAGCAGCACTAGATAACTAAGACAGTTGAAATTATCAGTAATTGGGCAAATTGATATCATGTACCTCCTGATATGATGTACTGAGAAGGACACAACGTGATATTCCTGCCCAAAATATGTAACTCAATGTAATCATGAGAAAGCACCCAAAATGAGGGACAGTCTACAAAATAATTGGCCTGTTCTCTTAAAAAATATCAAAGACTTGAGAAACAGAGAAACACTAAGGAACCAGTCCAGATTAAAGGAGATTAAAAAGACATGACAAGTAATGCAATATGTGTGATCTTTGACTGGATGCTTGACCAGGAAAAACATTTTTTTTTTCTTTTTGCTATAAGGATACTGGTGGTAAAATTTAAAAATTCTGTAGACTAGATAATAGTATTGTATCAACATTAATTTTCTGATTTTGATAATTGCACTATTGTTATGTAAAAGAATATTCTTGCTTTTAGGATACACACCTTGAGGTTTTTAGGGGTAAAGTGGCATCATAAAACAATAAACAATTTGTATATATATACATATATATAAAGAGAGAGAGAGAGAATGAGAGAAAGAAATTGAGAGAGAAAAAGTAAATGTGGTAAAATATTAACCTTTAGGGAACCTGGGTGAAGGTATGAATATAAGTGTGTGTATATACATAATTATATATATAATATATATGTATATATATAATTTTAAAAGTCTCATTGGTTTCTTGGACTTGTCACTATCCCTTTGAGGTGTGTCAGCTTGGCATTATTCTCTTTTCTGAGCATGTTCACTACAGTCCATATACCCCCAAAAGCTGGTTAAAACCTTGAGGAACAAAACAAAGAAAGGGTTAATTTCCATATATATTTATCCCAGTTCTGCATTGCCCTGATTAAGCATGATTAGAGTTTCTCAGCATCAGCAGTATTAGCATTGTGGACCGGATGATTCTTTGCTGGGGCTGGGGCTGTCCCAAGAATTGTGGCATGGGTAGCAGCATCCATAGTCTCTACCACTGGATGCCAGTGACACCTTGACTCTCAAGTTGTGATGACTAAAAATGTCTCCAGATACTGCCAGATGTCCTCTGAACCACTGAGCTAGCCATGATTATCACAGCTCCACCACATAGCTCTCCTTTTTACATCTAATTACTGGTTGCATACTTCCCAAGAAGACATTTCTTCAATGGCATGTGACATGTTCACCCCAGGGCACACAGAGAAAATGATGAGATTTGTTTGATACTGGGATAGATGTATCAGCCTGTTCAAAAGCAGAGACAATAACAAGGACCCCCAGCTGACCCAGGTCCTGAGGCTTGAGGAGAACAATGTCTCAGTGTCCCTGTACTAGGGCACACTGTCAGGCAGGTCTGTTACAGAACAATCATGTTGATAAACTTTATGATATATAGTTTTTCTTTTGATCACCTTCTTAGTTCAGAGCTTTTTAAATAGTCCTGTTTCGTGGAGAGAAAGGAAACATGGATTCCAACAAGGGGGAAATATTTTGCATAAATTTGTTTTTTTATTAGTAAGTTGGTTGGATTCAAAGTGCCATCATAAAAACAAAAAAAGAAAAAGAAATGAAAATGCATACATTAATAATGAAGCTAACAGGTCAGCATTTACTGTATGTTTTGGATATCAAAACTGCAAAAAAGCTGTGGGGAGTTAATTGGGAAGAAAGGAGCTACAATTTGTCAAATACTCACTATGAGCTAATTATGGGCTTGTATATGTTATATAAAATTTCCTAATATACATAATATATGTCAAATACATATTACATATTATATTACTATATGCACTTAAATCCTTTTAAGATCCAAATGGTTGTTATTATATACATATTTAAACCTTCTTACCCATTCCAGAATCTCAGTGCACACAATTTAACTATCTGTAATTCTCAGGGTTATGTTTTTAGCCAAGCAGTAATTTTTCCCTTGTTCGCATAAAATTATTCCATACTACTATCTTCCATTAATTTTATTCAACAAATATTTTTTGGGCACCTAAATCCACCAGCTGCTCCTTGGAAACCCTATGGAGTAGTTCCACTCTGTCCTATAGGGTCGCTATGAGTCGGAATTGACTCAACAGCAGTGAGTTTGTTTTTCAGATTATTATATGGCAGACACTGGTGTCAATGTTGGAGAAGAAAATAAGTTAAATATGGGACATATATGCTGTAATTTTATCAAATTATCTTGATTTAGCTAAAATAAATGCATTATAATCATTTGGCAGAAAATACACTATAACATTTCCACTTTGCCTGTGTAAGTTACTCAGAATCTCTCCCACTCACATACTCTACCTAAGCAAAAAATTTGGAGGATTTTAATACAGTCAAATTTCAAAGTAAGAAGTATATTAGACTATTATTCAAATTTACACACCAAGCACTAACACCAAAGATGAAGAAATTGAAGATTTTAAACAACTTCTGCAGTCTGAAATTGATCAAACATGCTATCAAGACGCATTGATAATTACTGGTGATTGGAATTCAAAAGTTGGAAACAAAGAAGAAGGATCAGTAGTTGGAAAATACGGCCTTGGTGACAGAAACAACACCAGAGATCGCATGACAGAATTTTGCAAGACCAACGAACTATTCATTGGAAATGCCTTTCTTCAACAACATAAATGGTGACTATACATGTGGACCTTGCCAGATGGAATACACAGGAATCAAATCTACTACAACTGTGGAAAGAGACAATGGAGAAGGTCAATATCATCAGTCAGAACAAGGCCAGGGACCAACTGCAGAACAAACCATCAGTCGCTCACATGCACCTTCAAGTTGAAGCTGAAGAAAATTAAAAGAAGTCCACAAGTGCTAAAGTACAACTTTGATTTCCCACCTGCATTTAGAGATCATTTCAAGAATAGATTTGACACATTTAACACAAATGACCAAAGACCAGATGAGGTGTGGAATGACATCAAGGACATCATGCATGAAGAAAGCAAAAGGTCATTAAAAAGATGGGAAAGAAAGAAAAGACCAAAGTGGATGTCAGAAGATACTCTGAGACTGGCTCTTGAACATAGAGTAGCTAAAGTGAATGGAAGAAATGATGAAGTAAAAGAGCTGAACAGAAGATTTCAAAGGGCAGCTTGAGAAGACAGAGTAAAGTATTACAATAATTGTACAAAGACCTGAAGTTAGAAAACCAACAGGGGAGAATATGCTCAGCATTTCTCAAGCTGAAAGAACTGAAGAAAAAATTCAAGCCTCAAGTTGCAATGTTGAAAGATTCTATGGGCAAAATATTGAATGATGCAAGAAGTATCAAAAGAAGATGGAAGGAGTACAGAATCACTGTACCAAAAATATTGGGTCGACATTCAACCATTTCAGGAGGTAGCATATGATCAAGAACCTTTGGTATTGAAGGAAGAAGTCCAAGCTGTACTGAAGGCATTGGTGAAAAACAAGGCTCCAGGAATTGACAGAATACCAACTGAGATGTTTCAATAAACGTATGCAGCGCTGGAAGCCCTCACTCATCTATGCCAAGAAGTTTAGAAGACAGCTACCTGGCCAGCTGACTGGAAGAGATCCATATTTGTGCCCATTCCAAAGAAAGGTGATCCTTTCTTTGTTAAAATTATTGAACAATATCATTAACATCACACGCAAGTACAATTTTGCTGATGATCATTCAAAAGCGGCTGCAGCTATATATCGACAGGGAACTGCTGGAAATTCAAGCCAGATTCAGAGGAGGACATGGAATGAGGGATATCATTGTTGATGTCAGATGGATCTTGGCTGAAAGCATGGAACACCAGAAAGATGTTTACCTGTGTTTTATTGACTATGCAAAGGCATTCAACTATGTGGATCATAATAAATTATGGATAACATTGTGAAGAATGGGAATTCCAGAACACTTAATTGGTGCTCATGAGGAACCTCTACATAGACTAAGAGGCAGTCATTCGAACTGAACAAGGGGATCCTGCATGGTTTAAAATCAGGAAAGGTGTGCATCAGGGTTGTATCCTTTCACCATACTTATTCAATCTGTTTGTTGAACAAATAATCCAAGAAGCTGGACTATATGTAGAAGAATGCGGCATCAGGATTGGAGGAAGACTTATTAACAATCTGTGATATGCAGACGACACAACCTTGCTTGCTGAAAGTGAAGAGGACTTGAAGCACTTACTGATGAAGATCAAGGACTACAGCCTTCGGTATGGATTACACTTCAACATAAAGAAAGCAAAAATCCTCACAACTGGACCAACAAGCAACATCATGATAAATGGTGAAAATACTGGAGTTGTTAAGGATTTCATTTTACTTGGATCCACAATCAATGCCCATAGAAGTAGCAGTCAAAAAATCAAATGACTTATTGTATTGGGGAAATCTGCTGCAAAAGACCATTTTAAAGTGTTAAAGTCAAAGATATCACTGAGGACTAAGGTGTATCTGACTCAAGTCCATAGTATTTTCAATTGCCTCATATGTATGTGAAAACTGGACAATGAATGAGGAAGACGGAAGAAGAATTGATTGTTGGCAAAGAATATTGAATATATCATGGACTGCCAGAAGAACAAGCAAATCTGTCCTGGAAGAAGTACAGACAGAATGCTCTACAGAATTGAGGGTGGCGAGACTTCGTCTCATGTACTTTGGACATGTTACCAGGAGGGATCAGTCCCTGGAGAAGGACAACAGGCTTGGTAAAGTAGAGGGTCAGTGAAAAAGAAGACGACCTTCAAGGAGATGGACTGACACAGTCGCTGGAACAACGCGCTCAAACATTGTGAGGATGGCGCAGTACCGGGCAGTGTTTTGTTCTGTTGTACATAGGGTTGCTATGAGTCAGAACAGACTTGACTGCACCTAACAACAGCCTTCCAGGTAGCAGACACTAAGGTCTATTTTATTTATTTCCAAAGAGTTACTCACATCACTCCTATTTTTGGCATTTGTCTTTGCCAAAACCATGTCCATGGCATCAGGAATGCTGGTGAACTTGTTTTTGTCTGGTGGCTGACGGTATTTCTTATCACTGATGATTTCTGAAGCCCGCTTGTTTTTTTCTGACTCCAAAGAACCCAGAGGACTCCATCCTATGCCTTTCAGCCACTCAAGGTCGGACTTATACATATTCTGTGAAAGGACAAAGCAAGTCATTAAAGTCTCATCCTCACCTGGACCTTTTATTCAAGTGACAATCAGAAACATTTTAAATTTTCAATAATAATTCCTCTTATTAGTTTCTGTAAGTAGAAACTACTAGTTTCTCTTAGTAGTTTTCTCTACTACCAAATGATTACTCATATCAGATATGAAATAATGGGTATACTATTTGATTTAATAGAAACTGACCTCACTCTGTAGTTCGTAAGCTTTTTTAGCATGAATAACATTATTCTGGTCGGGTAGACACGTCCATTGATGCAGCCTATTCCTGTAGTCCACGTCACTGACCAACTCCTGACATTTTTTGGCTAAGACCACTCCCAACATGTCCACTGGACTGGTGTACTTGGTCTTCCACTTCTCAAAATCTTTCTTGTATTCTCTTTCGCTCTGCATTTTGGCTACATTCATGGATAATACAAGCTTTGGGTCATCTTCCACCGTCCGGAATCCAACATGGTGGCCAAGTTGCTTGCGGTAGCCTTGTTTGTATTTATGCTGAAATCAGAGGCAACACAGTTCTTTTACTAACATAATGAAAGGTCAAGTTAAATTCTATTTGCTTTGTTTGCATATGTTTGTTTCCTAAAACTGAAATGAGAGCAGGGATGTCTATGCTAACTTAGTAAGAAATATAAAGAGTGAAGGTTTCTAAAGAAACCTAATACAGTTGAGTATCAAGAGAAGTGGTGCTGAGAAATTAATTCCAAATAGAAGCAAAAGTATATGCTTATATATGTTAGGCATTGTGTATCCTGACTTTAGGAAGCATCTAAGAAAGCTCTTGTGATATCCTTATAGGAATGATGAATAAGATTGGGTTGAATGGCAGAAAAATTAGGAAGATTTAAGACCTGGTGAATAGGCTTAATAATGTAGATTAATTTGTTAAGTAGCAGAATTTTTAGTGGTCTGTTTTATGTTTACGTCATGTAGCCTTGTCCTATACAGGATTCATATCTTGTATGCATGGGTACCTAAAAAGAGCTAATATGTTTGATTAGAAATAGAATTTCATGAGATATCAACATACTGCTATGATGGGTCAAAATGAACTAGATGAATTTAAGAGAATAAATGTAAAATCCTGCATTTGGATTCAATTGGGAAAAACTGCATCAGTACTAGATAACAATCACAATAGTGATAGTGATAAACACAGTAATAACATTTACTTTATGCTAGGTGCTGAACACACATTACACCTCATAAAAGTAGATTTTACTATCCTATGATACCTAGTTTATAAAACTAAGAACAAAAGAGAACAAGTAACAAAATATTTAAAGAGATATCAGGTAAAAGCGGAATTAAGCCACTTTGTGGTGTTCAAGAATGCAGACTTAGAGCTGATAGATAAAATATTTAAGGTTGAAATAAGGAAATATATAATGACATTGATAGATGATCCAACAAGGAAGTGACCTGCCCTGAATGGTACTGAAATTCTTATCTACATGTGAAAGTCTCCACAGACTGGATGACTACCTGTTGGAGATTAGGTGGGAGAATGGATTATACAGCCTTTAAAATTATCTTCCTACTCTAAATTTTATGATTCTAACTTATTAAATTAAGGACATGTAAAAATAGCTATAATTCACTGAAATTTCATATATACAAAAAACATTTGACACTGAGAGGAGATTAAGACTATTGTCTATACAATGGCGTGAAAGTTCTCTCATAGTTAATTTAATTTTAGGGTAAGGTTCCAACTAATGGGTTCACATGAAAAGAAATAAGGTACTATCAGTTGTTGGGTCATTAGAAAATTACTGATGTTATTTCTTCAATTCCAAGTCTATCTTTAACTTATAAGGAACATATAATGTTAAATGAAAATGAGTTTACTTTCTGGGAAACATTCAAGCACCATTATTGCTTCAAGCTCAACATCATGTGGATTCTTTTTAATGAGGCATTGATCTGCAAACCAGATAGTGGGTAAGAATACACCATCAAATTAATTTTCTAACACTTCCAGAATGCCACAAATTAATTGGATTAGAGAAGGTATTTCCTTATATTCTCAGAATTTACTGTCACATTCTATCTTTAGACACTCTTTCTCTCCACTCTATACTTCAAACTGCATGTTGAACCAAACCCTTGTTTTGTCTTGTTTTAAAGATTTTTTATTGAGTTCTACTTCCCTATGAAATTCTGGTAGTTTATAGAAACAAAATCCTCTGAATTTTCATGGTTAATTTTTGGGATTAACAAAATGATTTGCGTATCTATATGCACAATATCAGAATCAAATATTTGTAAACTTTTAATATCAATAGGGGCTATATCTAGTTTGCTCACCAACTTTACTACCCTTTAAAATCATAACTAGAAGCTGCCTTTTTGAAAGTGAGTATCCTTGTTTTATGAACTTTGGACCAGATATCCAGCAGAAAGTAGAGTAAAGCTCTCTGGACTTTAAGCCTCAATTCCTGAAACTTTCTAGACTTTCTATGCCCTAAGCTAATTTATTATAATTATGTAAATGCAAGGGTGGGCTAAATAAGAAGAACTGACGGCTAATTTTTAAATATGCACATAAGAAAATCCATCAATATCGGGTTGGTGAACCTGATTTATTATCTGGCACTTTTTGAATTTGTTTAACACAGACGAATAAAAAACAGCGAATTTTTTTTAGGCCAAGTAGGGAAAGCCCAAAATCTCTGGCTCCTTTGTCATATCTAGAAACATAATATCTCAGTATCATGGATCTTAGAGGTCCTCTGGTCCAACTTCTATTCAGGAAGCCCCTTTTTGACATATGATCAAAGAGAAATAAGAGTGAATTCTGAGTGGACAAAGAGGGTAGGAAAGGATAAAGGAGCAACACTATATTTTGAACAGTAAAGCCTGTCTTTAAAAATAATTACCAACCTTAAGTTACCTGACTCCAATAAAAATTTATCTGTACAGAAGTCAAAAGGAGCCCTGGTGGCACAGTGGTTAAGTGCTCGATTGCTAACTGAAAGGTCAGTGGTTTGAACCCACTGGCCACTCCATAGGAGAAAGATGTGGCAGTCTACTTCCATAAAGCCTTGGGAACCCTATGTGGTAGTTCTACTCTGTCCTGTCGAGTGGCTGTGAGTCAGAAATGCCTCAACGGCAAGGGGTATAGAAGTCAAACTAGTACTTACATCACTAGCAATATCTCTTGAAGCTTTGGCCAGCCGTACGGAAATTGCATCAACTGGGAGATCATAGCCTTTCTTCAAAGCTTCCTCCCATCCAAGTTTATAGAGTTTCTGAAAATTAAAGAAAATTTTATTGTTATTCTTTCTAGATTAAACAAACTAATAGATTATTAAACAAAAGTCTACCTAGAGAGTAGACATCAGATTCTAACATCTTTTACTGTATTTCTAAAGATACAGATTAAAAAAAACAAGTTGTTTAGCTGGGTAGAAAAAAGACTGAGAAGGGAAGGACAACACACAATATAGGGGAAGTCAGCAAAACTGGACCAAAGCAAAAGCAGAGATGTTTCTTAGGCACATCCAAACACTTTGAAGTACTGAGTAGCTGGGGCCGGGGCCCACGGTCTCAGGGGACATCTAGGTCAATTGGCATAATATAGTTCATAAAGAAAATGTTCTACATTCCACTTTGGTGAGCAGTGTCTGGGGTCTTAAAAGCTTTTGAGCAGCCATCTAAGATATATCTATTGGTCCCATCCCATCCAGAACAAAGGAGAATGAAGAAAACCAAAGATACAAGGAAAATATTAGCCCAAAGGACTAAAGGACCACATGAACCAGAGACTCCACCAGTCTGAGACCAGAAGAACTAGATGGTGCCTGGTTACCACCAATGACCACTCTGACAGGGATCACAACAAAGAATCCCAGACAGAGCAGTAGAAAAATGGAGAACAGAATTCAAATTCACGAAAAAAGACCAGACTTACTGGTCTGACAGAGACTGGGGGAACCCCCAAAACTATGGCCCCTGGACGTTCTGCTAACTCAGAACAGAAACCATTCCTGAAGCCCACTTTTCAGACAAAGATTAGACAGGCCTATAAAACAAAAAATAACACACGTGAGGAACTTGCTTCTTAGTTCAATCAAATATACGAGACCAAATGGGTAACTCCTGTTCAAAAGCAAGATGAGAAGGTATGAAGGGACAGGAACTGGACAAATGGACACAAGGAACCCAGTGTGGAAAGGAGGAGCATGCTGTCACATTGTGGGGATTGCAACCAGTGTCACAAAACATTATGTGTATAAATTTTTGAATGAGAAATTAACTTGAGCTGTAAACTTTTACCTAAAGCACAACTGAAAAAAAACAAAAACAAAGTAACAGAAATACAAAAGAAGAAAGAAAAAGCTCTGACTTAGCATCACATGATCTGGCTTCAATTTTTTTTGGCTCTGAGACTACCAGGTGGTATATTCGAGTATGGCCTTTACTGTTGAGAAACAATATGGCCATATCAGGTGCTTTTTTTCCTGCTGTTGACAGTCTGGGCTCACTATTTTGAACATAGATATTAAGATAATTGATTTAAAAAATTAGCTCACAAAATTTTAATTACATAAGTGATAAAAGTAATGGATGATAAAATGCCTTTTATGAGTTCCAGTGAATGAGTGAATCTTCCTGAGTCAAACCCACTGAATGGATGTATTGTGTGAAAACTAGCTAATTGTTATCAGTACTTTCTATGTGTCAGGCACTGTGCAGAGAGCCTGACTTGGAATTTCTCACTTGGTCTTTACAGCAAATTCAAGGTCATAGGAATTTTATGGTCCCAATTTTATAGATGAGGAAACTGAGGTTTAGACAGGTAGGTGATTTGCCCAATATCATATAACTCATAAATAGCAAAGCCAATATTCATCCAAGATCTGTTAGATGAATTTTTTCTTTCAGTGGCTATTGATTGCCTAGGTAGACCAAGCACAGTGAAAGCTGTGATAAAGAAGAGAGTCACAGGGCTTGCCTCCGTAAACTATATAGTCACAGCTGAGGCCCTTGCTCATAACCACTATATTTTGCAATATCCCTAGGCTAACCAGTGTGAGCCATTTTTTGTTTCAGTATTTACATCAGTTATTTACTATTACATCATTTAGTAAGTTTAATAAGTTTCAAGTCAAAACTTAAAGCAATTTTTATGTAGCTTACCTGACTGTACTGTGTTTGATTCTGCTTGGCCTGTAAAATATCTGGTGTGTCTGGCATGACATGAATCTTGGTCTTATCTTTATTCCAATCAATGGTGTATAAATGCTAGGAAGTATTAAAAAAAAAAAAGACATTTGAAACTTGAGTAACTAGGACAAACAGGAAAGAAAAGAATATATACGTATATATTTATAGCTAGATATAATTATAGATAAATAGTAGTTAACAGCACTCATTCTGAAATATAAGAAATTAAACTAGTAACTAAAGTAGCATATGATTCAGAAAAGACACCAAAAAGAAACTCAGATTTTAAAAAACTTTTCTTTTAAATATTTCCCATGTTCTAGAATGGATTGAAAGTACTTAAGGTATAGCAAAAAAAAAATATTTAATTTTTAATTCCATTAAAAGGACAGGTTAAGAAAAAATGGGAGGCGGGTAGAAGAAGAAAACGGTATGTGTGTAGAGGGGTGCTTTGGAAATGTTTGACACTGCCGAGAAGTGGCGGACCCGGATTAAAATTCCCAAACAAGAACCAGAGCTGCTACCCTCTCCCTACTTGGGAGCTGTGTGGAAGGGCAGCTGTTCTGTCTACCTTGTTCATGGTGTGCGCATTCTTCTTGGCAAGCACCATGTCCATGGAGTCACTCAGCTTCTTAAATGGGAAGTTGCTTGGGTGCTGGCGGTAGTTCTGGTCACTTGCATATTCAGTTGCCCTCTTGGCCTTCTCCACTTCTAGAGAACCAGCTGGACTCCAGCCAAGCCCTTTGTACCATTCATTGTAGTCCTGTTTATATTCATTCTACAGAAAGAAGAGGTAAATTCTACTTCACCTTATCCATTTAGACACTAAAGTAGTTCTCAGCTGGGGTAGAAGACTGTGATCTCCCTTACCATGCTAGGAATACAACCACCACCCAGAAAGAAGAAAGCCTTACATCACTGTGAATGCGATTCATATTCCTGGCCAGCTCAAGGTTCATTGCATCTGGAAGGAGGATGTACTTGTGAATCAGGTGTTTGTAGTCAGTGTTGCTGATGTTGGCTTGGGCATCCTTGGCGGCTGTGACACTGAGCATGTCGGCAGGGGTGTGGTAACTGGTCTTTGTCTTCTCATAGTTTTTCTTGTACTCTCGATCAGATTGCATCTTAGCCACTTGCATGGAATGGACTAATTTAGGGTCATCCTCAAGACTTCGGAAACCAACCATTTTCCCCCTCTCCTTTTCATAATTGTACTTGTAGTTATACTGGGAAGAAAATTTGAATATGTGTTCAGAGCAATTTCCTTTACTAGAAGTCATGCTAGTGTCAGTATTCCATATTTCATAATAAGTGATATTTTATAGAGCTTTACAGTTCACTAAACATGTTTTTCACATTTATCTGTGGAACTCGATTCAACTATTTTGAGAGGTGGATAGCAAAGTTATTATCTTTCCCATTTTACAAATGAGTAAGCTGAGACCCAGAGAGGTGAGTGACTTGCTAAAATTACTAAGGATTAGACTCCAGATCTTCAAATTATACCACACTGACTTACACACATGCTCTGTTAGTGTTGGAGAGACCATTAATATGTAATAAGAATACGACAAATGACAGAAAAAAGCAGAATGTTCTAATTAGTTTAATGCCACCCTGAAAAATCATCCAGTCATTTACTGATGAGAATATGCTCAATTATGAGGTACCCAGTGTAATTTTAGAGTAGCTTTATGTTTGTGGGGCTCTTTTTCTTTTAAGACTCTAAACTGGCATAATGGGTAAGAAATTTTTCTATTTATCACCCCCAACTTCCCTCTACAGAGGGGAGATCCTGATACATGGAGAGCCTCTTATTCTACCTTTCTCCTTGTGGGTTAGAGTGTGCAAGTTAGGAAGTAGAAGCTAGGATAGCCAAATTACTTCAGCATAAAGAGGGTGAAGAATTTGGAGTTTTCAGGACAATGTGGGAATAGGATAGGGCTAGATAGGTAGGGTAGATGAAGAACAGAGATGAAAGCGGTGAGAGAAAGTAGAACTGGAGGGCTGGGGGGTAGCCAAGGGCAGAGTGTTCTAAAATGTGCTCCTTCCATGATCCCCAGGTCACTGTGAGTGGATTTCTTGTGGAAACAACCCAATGAAAAAATTGAGTTTCATACGGGTGATGTATTATGGTAACAGTGTGCTGGTATACCAGCTCTCAGGGGGAAAAAAGTCCTAATTTGTAAAGCTTGCCAATTTCTTTAGTGTAAATGGAGCCCTGGTGGTGGCACAGTGGTTAAGAGCTTGGCTGCTAACCAAAAGGTCGGCAGTTCGAATCCACTAGCTGCTCCTTGGAAACCCCATGGGGCAGTTCTACTCTGTCCTATATGGTCGCTTTGAGTTGGAATTGACTCGATGGCAACAGGTTTTTTGATAGTGTAAATACTCCTAGCAGCTGATGTCAAGCTACTAATGGTTTAACAACTGGTTTGCACAATTCCCAGTTATTGAACAGTCAGATCTCATGAGTCCAAATGAGCAGGCTCCCGCGATTCACTACGTCAGGCATCTTGTTAGAAAGATTCTAAGAGGCAGGAGGCAAGAATGACACCAGCCTTTCCCTAAGAAAACTTGGCAAAGGGCTTTGGATTTCTACAGGTCATAACCTAGGTGACAGAGTTCAAAGTAATTTTACCTAGATCTCACGAGTCAGGGAGCTGACATTTATGAGGGCCATAATGTGGTTAGTGTTCTGTTTTCTCGGAAATACCAGAGAAAACATAGGAAAAAAGCTAAGAGTATTCACGGGCAGTTTGAGGCTCTTATTAGCAGGTGTGCTTTTATCATACTTTATCCACTCATTGTTTCCAGAACTCAGCCTTTATTATTTTGGTTAAATAGAAACCCCCAGCCAGATGACTGCTTTCCTGCAGACTTACATCACTTGCAATATCTCTTGAAGCCCTGGCAGCTTTGATAGGAATTGCATCACTTCTGAGATCATAGCCTTTCTTTCTAGACTCTTCCAAAGAAAGTTTGTAGAGTTTCTGTGAAGAGAGGAAAGCGGAATAGTTTTCTTCTAAATAGGAAAGCCTGAACTGATTTTACAACAGTAGACTAGCACTGTGGCATCCTTTTTGTATTGGAGCAGAATGCTTCATTGGTGGCTCAATGGCTAAATGTTCTCACAAGTAACATAATTGTGTTTGAATAAAATCTATTATAAACTCAAACGTACTTTTAAGAAACCACCAGGAAAAAAAAAAAAAAAAAAGAAATTTACTGGTCTCTATTACGTGTGGAGCCCTGGCAGCAGAATGGTTAAATGTTTGGCTGCTAACCAAAAGGTCGGCAGTTCAAATCTACCAGGCGCTCCTTGGAAACCCTATAGGGCAGTTCCACTCTGTCCTACAGGGTTGCTATGAGTTGGAATCGACTTGACAGCAATGGGTATTAGGTTGTAAATATTTTTTTAAATATGAGAATTCAGTAGGTTCTTTTTTTTAAGACTCTCTTAACTGGCATGATGGGTAAGAATTTTTTCTGTTGATCACCCCAACTTCCCTCTATAGAGGGGAGGTCCTCATACATGGAGAACATTTTGCATTTTATCAAAAAAGTTGAAGGAAGACTAAGAAGCAGCCATATTTTTACATCAACAGAAAACCTCACTGTTTTACAAATGATACATTTATTTATATAATTATGTAGATTCTACAATCCAGAAAAAGTCAACAATCTCAAATCTCTGTAAAATTCAAACAAAGAAAAGAAAAAATAGGTAAGATTAGAGGATTTCCTAGCAACTGTAGTTAGGATAAGAAAGAAAATGAAATAAAACACCAATGCATTTTCCAACCAGTATAGCACATTCCTTGCTGTGGGGCTTGTAAAAATTCTTCAGGATGTTCATCTTTCCCGTCCATTAAAATTTCTCTACGACTCCTCTCTAGGACCATCTGAATAACTTTGTGGAGAGGTCTCTAAGGAAAAGGTCCTGATATTCTCATTTCCTTTCTTCTCTTGGCCCCCAGGCCCTTCTCCTCCTGCCGAGTCTCTTGATTTGATATAGAATACCTACCTGCCCCTAAAACAAAATCCAACCACCCTTTAAGTTCCTAACTGCTCGGGCCAAATCCCATTGGAAAACACTCCAACTCTCAGTAAGCAAGAGTAGAAAGAAAGATTTTCACTTGTGGATTTCCACTATTACTTTTAAACCATTCACTCTCATAATTGAAGTTAACAATTTTTTTTTAATGGGATGGAAAGAAAGATAATAACAGAGGAAATTATACTTACATCACTCATATTAATAGCATTTGCCTTTGCCAAAATAATCTGGGGGATATCAGGCATGATGTGAACTTTGGTCTTGTCAGCCTCCCACGCTTGTTTGTATAGGTGCTGGAAAGTAAAAAATATATAAAAGTGTGGCAGCTAGTAATTAAAATCTTGAAAGGAGTTTCCTTAGTATATATAAACCATTGCACATGTATATAATTACTTTATGTATTTTTATGTGTCTTTTTATTAGCTAGGTTGTTTATTGTCTTTTTTGAGTCATAAATGGAAGATGTGCTCTTTCAAACAATTCAGTGGAGAGGATGTAAGATGAAAAGCAAAAGTACCCTCATCCCCCATCTTGCAGTCTGGAGATAGCTTCTCCATCCCCAAATTTTCTAAGCATATTAAAACTCACACAGAGTCCTTCTTTAATGTAAATGAGGTCATTATAATACAGTGTTCTACATCTTGCTTTTTTACTCAGTAATATAAATTACACGTCATTGAGCTTTCTTAAAATAATCTACTTCATTCATTTAGAGAGCTGTATAGTATTCCAATAGGAGGTATAACCTAATTGATTTAGCCAGTCCTATACCGATGGACATTTTGTTGTTTCCAGTCTTTCTCTATTACAAGCAATGATGCCTTGATCTTCGTGGTGGACATGAGGATGGAAAGACTTGTTATCCAACTATTGGCAGATAACCTTCAGTTGTCAGCTCCTTCAGGGTTTGCTGACTTAGTCAAGAGCACACTTTCCCAGGGCGGTCACATCCAAATGATGATCTAAGTGGGGGGATAAATGCCTGGCCATTTCAGCTCAACGTCAGAACCCTCGGACAGGCTCTATACACTCAAGAACTCTCCATGGGACTGGGCCTGCATCACAGTTTGACTTCTCTCTCTGCCCAATCCTCCTTTCACAGGTACGATACCTAAAGAATACCCTGGACCCTGAATTTCATCTCAGCCATTGCCTTTCAGAGACCCTAAGCTGCAACAAATATTATTATGTATGTATGTTTTTGCACACATACATAAGGAGTTCTGTAGATTAATGGTTACCTGAATTTTTAATTTTAACACACAGCAACAAACTACTGATAAAAAGTTTTCATCAATATAAACTCCCTTGTCAATATTGGGATAATACAACGTTCTAATCTTTGCAAATCTGATAAGCAAGAAATGTTCTCTTTGTTTTAGCTAGGCTTAATTTTCAATAAATAACTTTGTGAGCCCTCTTCTAGACTAAGAGTCAGCAAATTCTTTTTCTCTAAAGGGTCAGATAGTAAATATTTTAGGCTTTGTGGACCATATGATTTTTGTCATAACTATTCAACTCTGCAGTTTTAGCACAAAAACAGCCATGGACAATAAGCAAACAAATAGTTGTGGCTATGTTACAATAAAACTTTATTTATAAAAACAGTTTTCTGACTCTTGATCTACACCAGCACTATCCAACAGAACTTTCTGAGATGATGGAAATATTCTGTGCTATCGAATACAGTAGCCCTTAGCCATATGCAGCTATTGAGCACTTGAAGTGTAGTTAATGAGAATGAGGAACTGAATTATTAATATATAATTTTAATTAACCTAAATTTAAATAGCACATGTGGCTAGTGGTGATAGTATCGAACATATCAATTCTAGTGGAAAGAGAACTAAACTAGGAATCAAAGCCCTGTTTCTAGTCCAGATACAGCCAATGACCTGCTGTGTGTCTTTCGGAAAGCCACTTTGCCTCTCTGGGCCAAAGTTCCCTCAACTCTGCAATGAGGGGATTTGACTTTATATCACCAAGCCATCTCCAACTGTTACATATTCTATTGCTATGATTCTCATTTTTGCATCATTATCCTGAAATTATAATCATTATAAAGGAAAGAATCAGAAGTACTTAATTTAGTATTTAAAAATAAATATATGCTGGTAATGGTTTAGCTTCTAAATCCGGTGTAGAGATTTGTGCCTTGTCTTTTAGGCAGATCTCTTTCAAGGAAGTTAGTCTTCTCAATAAATCTGTCTGTTTTCTTTCTTAGAAGGCTCCTGGGGATTTACTTAGAGACTTTACATAATATAGCTTTATCTTTCCAGAGTAACTAGAAACAACTAGTTTCTGCAACTGTTTAATGTCAAGGTTCAGATAATTTTTTTTTCCTTTTTGTTAACCAAAGGCATTTCTAATTGTTATCCACACGATACAACCAGTAATTGTATTGTTTTTGACTTAAAAACAGACATCCAAGGTTGATGTTCTTATTGGTCATGGTATTATCTCACAGTGAATATATGTAAAATTACAGTAAAGCTTTTCTAAAAACTGGAATAATTAATGATCCAGGGAACTACTTGTCTACAATTGTTCTCATGATTGCCCAGGGAAAGCTCTTGCTCAGAATGCACTACAGCCATGTATTCTGGGGAATTTTCCCTAATTCCATCAAAGCAGCTGGGAATCATGGGTGGGCTGCAACACTCAGCTGTTATCAGCCAAATATTCTGCTGATTCAGCTTCATGAGCTGCTACTCAACCTCATCTGAGACAAACAGACTCATTTTTAAAAGTATGTATTAAAAGAAAACCAAAACTCAATTCCGACTCATAGTGACCCTATCTATAGGACAGAGTAGAACTGCCCCCATAGGATTTCCAAAGCTGTAAATCTTTACAGAAGCAGACTGCCACATCTTTCTCCCACAGAGAGGCTAATGGGTTCAATTCATCAACCTTTCGGTTAGCAGCCAAGCGCTTAACCACTGTGCCACCAGGACTCCTTATTAAAAGAGAAGGGACCCTATTTATTTTGTTACCTCTATGAGATAGAAAGGTCCCTGAGTGGAGCATAAGGTTTGCACTCAACTACTAACCTAAAGCTTGGCGGTTCAAACCTACTCAGCTGCACCATAAAAGACAGACTGGTGATCTGCTTCCGTAAAGATCACAACCAAGAAAACCCTATAGACCAGTTCTACCCTGTAACACATGGGGTCACCATGAGTTGGAAACTTGATGGCAATGAGTTTGATCTTTTTTTGGTTTTATGAGATAGGATGGTTCATTAAATATTTGGGGGTTCATTAATTAGGAATAATTTCTGTCTTTTCTTTTTTCAACAAGGTAGAGTAAACCTCAATATATTTTAGTACATGTGCTGCTGAAGTGAAGCACTGGGCTGGCAAAATCTTTACATTAAATGTAAGATACGCCTGGATTCTCTCTGATGCATATGGGAACACTACATTGTTGAAAGACTTACTTCATCCATAATTTTTGCATTTTTCTGGGCCAAGACCATATTCATTGAGTCCATCAGTGTGGAATACTTCAAAGTGTCTGGGTGCTGGCGGTACTTCCTTTCACTAATAATCTCCATGGCTTTCTTGTTTTTCTCAGCGTCCAAGGAACCCAGAGGGAGCCATCCAACACCCTTCATGAAGTCAGCATAGTCAGCTTTGTACTGATTCTGCAAAGAAGGAAACAGACAATGATGAGAAAAAACCAAAGTTTCCAAGAACTGAGTATGTATTTAACATTCCATAACTTCCACTTCAGTTTTCAACCTATAGGATGTTGAACTTCAACCATTTTTAACTTCCAATTTTTATCTTTTTTACATTTCCTAGCATGAAAAATTTAAAATGAGCAGAAATATCTTCGTGATTTCTTTGCTTTCCTGGATGCCTTCTTAAAGAAAAAGTGCTGAGAAACACCAGATAGGTTAATCTGCCATGTAACTATTGTCTCCTTGACAAGGTAACCATGCTGGCCTAATTTTCTACAAATCTTCCCAAGTCCCTTGGTTAATGGACGACTTACAGAACCCCGTTTCTCCTCTCTTCTGCTGTGTTTGATCACTCACCACTGCCATATCTCCCTTGGACATGCCAGAAACCTTACTGGAACTTTGGGTAAATTTCATTTTTCTCCCTGCAGCTTTGGTATTTCCCTCTAAAACTGCATAATATTGCTTTCATTTGGATACTTATGTAACTCTCTGGCAATTAATAACTCAGCTTTTACATTCCCAAAGAGAAATATAGGCTTGGCATGGCCTACCTTTGGTTCCTAACTTAAAATTCACTTCCTCACAGGCCACAAAATGGTTTCTATAGCTGAATTATTGGCATTCTATCCTTTCTGTCTTCCTCATAATTATTCTAAAACGACCTCATCCATTACCTCTCAATATTTCACCAGTAAGTAAGATAGGCAATTACAAAGTTAGAAGTGCCACATAATAAAAATTGGCTAGGTTTGAGGGGCAGGAGATATCAGGTTACTTGATTTCCTGCTTTTTCCCTTTTACTCCTCTGTCAGGAGCCTTTTATGTTTCTCATCCTCCACACATTCTTTCTGAAGCCAAATTTCATTTGCTACATCTGAATTCAGACTTCAATGCTCACAGCAACAATAGTAGAAAATAAGACTTTAGTTTCTAGAATTAATGCCCTTTAGTTAAAAGTGGGCTCAAACATAGCAATGATTGTGAGGATGGCACAGGACCGGGCAGTATTTCGTTCTGTTGTATGTAGGGTCACTATGAGTCAGATCAACTCGAAGGCACCTAACAACAACAACTAGTTAAAAGAAATAAATTCAATCTGAAGTAGGAAACAAAACACCTTGTTGGGAAATTGCATATAAATCTCTCTCAGAAATTAAAGTTTTCATTAGTTATAGTCATTCATGATTCGCTTATTATGCACAGAGCAAAAGCTCTTTAAATGTGGCTTTCACGTACATCACTTTGGATCCGCATCATATTCTTGGCCAATTCAAAGTTCATGGCATCAGGAAGCATGTTGTAGGTGTGGATCACATTTCTGTAGTTGGTGTTGGTGGCCACTTCCTGAGACTTCTTGGCAGCCACCACACTTAACATGTCCACTGGGGTGTGGAAATGTGTCTTGGATTTTTCGTATCCCTTCTTGTATTCCCGGTCTGACTGCATCTTGGCCACCTGCATGAAGTGCACTAGTTTGGGGTCATCTTCTAGGCTCTGGAAGCCAATGTGTTTCCCTCTGGTTTGTTCATAGGCTTTCTTGTATTTGTACTGTGGACAGAAGAGAGAGCATGACAGTAAAAATGGTGAAGAAAAGAAAACAAAATATCGTTCACTAGACATCCTTAGCTCTTCTATAGGTGTGAAGTTTTCTTTTTTTTTAAATTATTGTACTTTAGATGAAGGTTTACAGAACAAATTAGCTTCTCATTAAGCAGTTAGTACACATACTGTTTTGTGACATTGGTTACCAACCCCATGACATGTCAATACTCTCCCTTTTACCAGCTTTCCTGTCTCCTCCTGCCTTCTAGTCCTTGCCCCGGGCTGCTGTGCCCCTTTAGTCTCGTTTTGTTTTATGGGCCTGTCTAATCTTCGGTTGAAAGGTGAACCTCAGGAGTGACTTCATTACTGAGCTGATAGGGTATCCGGGGGCCCTACTCTCAGGGTTTCTCCAGTCTCTGTCAGGCCAGTAAGTCTGGTCTTTTTTTTTTTTAGTGAGTTAGAATTTTGTTCTACATTTTTCTTCAGCTCTGTCCAGGACCCTTTATTGTGATCCCTGTCAGAGCAGTCAGTGGTGGTAGCCGGGCACCATCTAGTTGTGCTGGACTCAGTCTGGTGGAGGCCATGGTAGTTGTGGTCCATTAGTCCTTTGGACTAAACTTTCCCTGTGTCTTTGATTTTCTTCATTCTCCCTTGCTCCAGACGGGGTGAGACCAGTAAAGTAAGACCGCAGATGCTACTCACCAAAGTAGACTGCAGAACGAACATTATCTTTATAAACTATGTTACACCAATTGAGCTAGATATTCCCTGAGACCATGGTCCCCACAACCCTCAGCCCCGTAATATAGGTGTAGAATTTGAAAGCTACTTTAAAACTTGAAAGGAAGGAGCTCACAGGGGTAAGAAACAAAAGGTTTTTACTTCAAATTTCTTCCCAGACCAGAGTCCATGAAAAGAAAGAATGATTTAGAAAGCATCTCTCCCTACTCAGCCATTCAACAAGCAGAAAAGGCTGCAGGCATGATTTCGCAGTGTATTTTAAATTCAGGAAAGAACCTGGCCATGTGTCTCCTGGGTAAACTATGTATGTTACTTTCCTGTATTTGCTTAGAATTGCCTATAAATGGTTTTAATAATCTAAAAGCAACTTACCTTAACAAGACCCAGCCACTTTTTACATTAAATCATAAACAAATGCTTAGAAGGTGTGTCACTGGGCTAAGGTGGTGCGTGTCATGCTGCACGGGGTGGCGTTCCCACCAACACTGAACAGAGCTGACCCCAGCTCCTGAGTACACACCAGCTTGACTTATCTGCTCTTATTCGTTTGGCCTAAAGGAGGTCCAGTAAAATCACTTACATCACTGGCAATGTCTCTAGAGGCTCTTGCAGCCTTTATTGGGATAGCATCGGGCCTCAGGTCATATCCTTTCTTCTTTTCTTCTTCCCAGCCTGCTTTGTACAGTTTCTAAAAGATAAAATAGAAAAACAATAGCATCTGTTTATTTCGAAGTGGCATGTACAAGGCAGACGTTCCATAAGTATTAGTTCCCTTCAATCTTCTTCCCCATGTCTGTTGTTGTTCATCTACTTACATCACTCATGGTGATTTGGTTTACTCTGGAGAGTAAAATATCTGGAGTATCAGGCATGACATGAATGGTGGTCTTGTCTTTGTTCCATTTTTCAGTGTAGCGTCTCTGCAACAACAAGATCAGGCATATGATTTTGCAGCAGGACAAGTCTCTAATAATGCTACTAAGAAGAAGAGATTCCACATCCCCATGGTCAAAGAGGTTAAATCAGATATTAAAAATGTGCTGAAATAGCAAGAAGATGGGTTGGGAAAACGGAATATACAACAACAACAAAAAGATCATCAGGCAAGGAAGCCCTCTTCCAGTTAAGCAACTGTGTGGAGTATTGCAGTTCTCTTATATCCTGAGCATCAGTGTGAGAGAGAACTTTTTAGACTTGGTGAAATGTATACAATCCCCTACCACCATCACCACAATCACCACCAGAAAAATAAGAATGCAGAAGAGAACTCTAGAGGCACTGCCAGGCTCAATACCCTGAGCACCATGCGTTTCTGTGGCTGAAGCTAGCAGGTGCGTTCTTACCTTATCCATATTCAGTTTGTTACTCTTGTTGAGTACTTGTTCCATTGTGTCCATGGAGTAGGTAAACTTCAGCTTCTCCGGGTGCTGGCGATATTTCTTCTCACTCAGTATCTCTCCCGCTTTCTTTGCCTTCTCCACCTCCAGTGACTGTATGGGGATCCAGCCAATCCCTTTCATCCAGTTGGTGAAGTCAGATCTGTATAGGTTCTTTGCAACAAAAAAGGGAAATTCTCATTTCAGAAAGGGTCAGGCCTTTAGTTCCTTTGGCTAGATGATGTAGTCATTATCAAAAGGAAAAAAAAAGGGGGGGGGCACATAACCTGCTCTTTACTCCCTACTTTCATTTGGGAAAAATTAATTATAAAAGGAATTGCATGCATGGTGGTCTTGAACAGGAAATCCTAACCCAACAATTGCTTTAAAAAATAATTTTATTGGAGAAAAGAAATGAAAAGTTAACAGAAAGGAGTCATATCCACCCCAGCCTATGATACATAGAGTACATTCCATCTTCCTTATCTGTAGGGAAGACAATTTTGCACAGGAAGGGATGCTATACATCACCCATTTGAATCTCTTGATTTTTCAGAGAACGTATGCTATATCGATCCAACAGCCAACTTTTTTAAAAAAAACATAATAAAATAAAGCTACATATCACTTAAATGACTAAAATCTTAAAATTTCAAATCCTGGAAGGAATCACTAATGACAGTGAGTCCAAGTGGTTTTAGAATGGAGTCAGTGGAGTTTCCTAGTTTTTGTCCCTAGAGTAAGTGAAATTTCCTAGTTCTTGTTCCGCTGGCTGGAAATGGGTAACTAGCCCTATGCTGACACATCTGTGGACTGTTAACATACATCGCTCTGAATCTGCATCGCATTCTTGGAGTGCTCCACATTCATGGCATCCGGCAGCAGCGTGTAGCTGTGGAAGGGCTGTCTATAGTTGGTGTTGGTAGTGGCTTCCTGAGATTTCTTGGCAGTTGTCATACTGACCATATCCAAGGGTATGTGATACCTGGTCTTGGTGGCTTCGTAGCCCTTTTTGTACTCACGATCTGACTGTATTTTAGCCACAGTCATGTAGTGAACCAGCTTAGGGTCATCCTGAAGACTAAGAAATCCAATTTGTCTGCCTTTGGCTTTCTCATAAGCCTCCTTATATTTGCACTATATGAAAAAGAAGGGGAGACAGAAGTTTGATAAGGTGGAGCATAGAAAATACCAAGCTATATATTAAACTATAATAAACTATATTTATTAATTTATACTTATACACTTCTATATTAAATTTGTAATTATCTATATTAAGTATAAATAATATCCTTTTATATTAAATATTAAACTCTATTTATATAACAAATTAACTCAGAGTCAAATTCAATCTGAATCTAGGTAAAGTCTAAGTTTACAAGTTTTTAAAAATTTTTTTCAAGTGTTTTTAAATAAACAACTAGCAAAATATTTCTAATGGATGGTTTTGAAAGCTGCTTTGGGGATAATTAAGAATTGAATGATTTGTAGTTTATAGATTATTTATAAGTATATTCTTTGAATATACTCAAAAGTTTCTGAAGAGTTTATTAAGTATTTGATGTGTATTTTTTTTATTATTTTGTTTCTATTGCCTTATAAAGTATTTGCATAATCATAAGTAAATTTCAGCAAATTGTACAAATTAGTATATTGGACTCCAAATGAATGAGTTTTTACTCTACCAAGGTATTTATTGTATCAATTCATATGAAGAATATAATTTAAAAATTTTTAATTAACTAATTAATTAAAATTATGTAATTTAGTCTATAATTCTTCCTGGTTTTCATCAGATGTTTCTCTTTGCTGAAATTATAAAATTTAAAAAATTGTATTCTTTTAAAACATTGGATACTGTTTTGATTCAATGATATTTTAGTATACCAAGACTCTCTTGATGAAATCTAAATAAAAAGCAGTATTCAAGTTAATAACAATGATACTAATGAGAATTCCAAATATTTCACAGTTTAAAAAAGGAATTTTCTTCTTTGTAGTAACTATATTAATTCTTTTAAATTATTTTAAGCAAGGCAATATTTTAAAAAATAGTACTTAGGATATTAAGAAATATTTTTATATTATAATTTCCTTATTTGCCACCTAATTTAGCTCATATAGCCTAATATACATGTAAAGATTTTAAAAATATACAGAAAGAGAGTCTACTGCTTTCAGATTAGACTTACATCACTAGCAATATTCCGTGAACTTTTTGCGGCAACTATTGGAATAGCATCTGGTCTCAAATCATAGCCCTTAGCAATGGTTTTCTTCCAGTCTGCTTTATAATGAGCCTTCAAAACAGAAACGATTATTTCGTCATTTGGCGTAATTAAAAGACGAATAAAACAAGATGCCAAAATCTTTCTTATAAAACATATCACAATATATCCCTTTCAGAAAACTCATGGAATTGGGCTGTTAGTTCATCTTCTGTGTATCCTTTTAAAAACATCAGCAAACAGAACTATATACAGAGTATGATCTCAACCTCTTTAAAAATGTATATGTTTACATAACAAAGAGACAGAAAGGTAATGCTTTGAATTCAGGATAACAGATGATTTTTTTCTTTCATAATTTTTTATATGTTCCAAATTTTCAATAATAAGCATGCACTTTTTTGTATTGTTTGTAATGCAGCGTTTGAAACTTACAGAAAAATATGGAACCAACATATAAAATTCTGATGTGATACCATCCAGCTTTAATAAATTCTAATGTTTTGCTTTTATATATTACTTATAAAATCAGAAAAAAAATTTTTTAAATAAATGAAAGGCAAAAAAGTAAATACTAAAAAAGTTTACTTCGAGTCCAAAGAGAGCCTAAAACTTTGGAAGAATGAATAGGCCATTTGTAAAGAAATGAACAATATTTTTCAAGTCTGATCGTTTTTAAACTAAAATTTATCAAATTTAAAAAAAAAAGTGGATTTAAATATCATCAGCAATTAAGTATCTAGAATACTCAAGAGAAAGGCTAGTTACAGAAATATATTTCTGAAGATAATTGCACTAACTTCTTGTGGAAGTTCTAATAAATAACTGAAACAAAAATTTTAGAAAACAAAACTTATCCTTACTACAGACTATGCATTCCTGAGTTTTCCAATCTTATCTATCCCATTTTGTTCCATTAAAAAAAGAAAAAAATGCTGGTCACAAGCTACTGAATTGATTTCATAACCTACTAAGGGGCCACAACACATAGATTGGAAATGTCTGTGGCGCAAATGGTTAAGCGCTTGACTACTAGCTGAAAAGACTGGAGGTTTGAACCCACCCAGAGATGCCTCAGAAGACAGGCCTGGCAATCAGCTTCTGAAAGGTCACAGACTTGAAAACCCTATGGAGCACTTCTACTCTGCACACATGGGTCGCCATGAGTTGGAATCAATTTGACAGTAACTAATAACAACAACATTAAATAACATTTTACAGAGCCCTCTAGTCTCATGTTCTATAATAAGGATCCAATCTGGAGACTCAAAAGAAGCCACACTCACTTTGCTTCCCTTAAACTTCTCAGTCTGAGAGTTTCACAGGGCTGGAAAGGAGCAGCTGTCATAAGCAAAATTAGACTGGCACCAGGCCAAATACTCACCTCACTCATGTTGAGAGCATTGACCTTGGCTTGAATAAACTGAGGCAATTCGGGGTCCATAGTGTACTTGTGTTTCAGCTTCTCCCCCTCCACCTTGTAGTTCAACTAAAATGAAAGGAGGTGACATGCAAATGTCATTAGTGGACATAATGTGTTTCATTAAGCTCACACTCTTCAAAATGAAGGCTATCATTTGTGCTTTTCCATGTCCCAGGTAAATACCTAAACCATCACAGTGAGGGGGCTCTAGTAGACGTATTCGTGTATTTGTTCCACCAATATTTTTTGACAGTGCTGTGTGCTAGGCATGGTGATAGGTTCTGCATTTAACGTGGTGGAAAGGGCAAACCTGGTCCCTGCCCCCATGGAGCTTATAGTCCGGTAGGGGAGACAGACGATAAACTCAGGAACTATAAAATATAGCTAAAATTTGTGATGTGTTGCAGACGGAGTAATTGTAGAGGAGTAACAGGGTGGTCAGCAAAGGCTCTCTGGTGAGGTGACATTTACACACAAACTTGGAGAAAGGGCAGGAGAGCAGGGCAGACAAAGAACATTCCAGGGCTGGTGAAGGACCCTGAGTCTAGAAAGGGCTTGGAGGCCTCAGGGACGAAAGTCGCCTGGTCATGTGACTGTAGCATATGGAGGGAGACCAAGGGGATTAGACTGAAGGGGGAAGCAGGGCATAGAGTGGAGGGACTTATGAGCCAAGTTAACATGTTTAGATTTTAAGTTTAAGGAGAAGTTATTAAGGGGTTTTAGTATAAGAGTGACCTGATTTTATGTTCTAAGATGGTCTTTCTAGCTGCCGTATGACACTTCAGGAAGAGAGTCCAACTAACAGGTTATTACAGCTGTCCACACGGCAGTTGAAAGACAGAGGCGTGCTCAGACAGGATAGCGGAGTGATATTTAGGAGCCTGACTCAGCAGATGAGTGACTGCCTGGTTTCTGGCTTGAGTAACTAGGTAGATGACCATGGCATTTTTTGGGGACAGGAGGACTGACTGCAGTAAACGTACAGTTTTTTTTTAGCTAACTGGAAAAACACAGTAAGAAGGGACACCAAGGTCAGAACAAAGGAAATCCGACGAAGTGACACCAACAATTACCACTAAAATAGAATTAATCTTTAAATGTCTGTGATAATGTGGGGGCTGTTCTGAAAATGAAATCTACAGGTAATCCTCAAATCTGAGCCAAGCAAATCATTCCCCACTTTCCAAGACTTGGGGGCTAAAAACACAAAAAGTCTCCCCTTCCTTGCCTTTTACTTATCTCCTCTCTCTGGTGAAGGTGTTCTAACAGAACTGTGAAATTACCACAAGGAGTCCTGGTGGCGCAGCCGTTAAGCACTTGGCTGCTAAACGAAAGGACAGTAGTTCAAACCCACTGGCTGTTCCATGGAAGAAAGATGTGGCAGTCTGCTTCCATAAAGATTTACAGCCTGGGAAACCCTCTGGTTTCCTACAGGGTCATTATGAGCCAGAATCGACTCACTGGCAACGAGATGAAATAACTCAATGACGTGAAGCATTGAGCATAGTAATTAGCTCCTGAATAAAAGAACAAGAGTTCCAGACAGACCTGGGCTCAGAAATGAAACCCCAGATGACTCTGAAAGCAAACTGTTTATCTCCTCCCATGAAACCTCTCTCTGAGAGCCTCTCAGAACATGGAACTATTATGCAAGGGGATTAGGACAGTATACCTTCTGCCCATGCAGCTAGCCAGAATTATTGCAGCTCAGAGTAATACATGGCTTATTTGGCAATTGAGACAGACTCACAAACAACAATAGTAATGCTATCATTTTGTATGGATAATGGGTAGGGGTTTTTTTTATGACTAACACAGACTCTCTACATTTGGAATATAAAGCAGATTTCAAATCCCCCTCCCATTTCCCCATTTTTCCTAAGCAAGATCCAAGTTGCTTAAAAAGTAAAACCTTTCTATTATACCTCTGAAAGCAGTTTATTTGCTAATGTAGATGCACCTTCACATACTGAATTAAGAAAGACGGTGGAGTGGCTCGTTTGCAGGGGTTATTTATGGTCAAGCACTTTTGAAGGGAAAATGCTTACATCACTCAGCTGCTTTGTGTTCTTCTGAGCCAAAACCATACCCATCGAGTCAGGCACACTTGTGAACTTGATGGTGTCTGGGTGCTGTCGATACTTCTTCTCATTTAATGCTTCGCCTGCTTTCTTGGCTTTCTCGACCTCCAGAGAACCAATAGGAAGCCATCCAATGCCCTTGAAGAAGCTGTTATATTCGTCTTTATATACATTCTGTAAAAGAGTAATCTTATATGAGGAGACATCTTAGAGAATATTCAAGAGGTGTTTCTGAAATCTGCAATTCTATCCCCAAGAAACGAATAACAACTCTTTTCAGCAAGCTTATGTCTGTAATGGAGCGCTTGTCTATGTCTGTCACAGAGCTTATTACCTGGAATTTGGTAATAAGATAAAGCGACTCTGCTGTTAGAGTGCATTATACAACACCGAAAGGAATCTAGGGCATGTATTTCCACGAGTGCTGCTAAAAAAGTTGTGTCTCTTTGAACAACAAATCGAGTTTTCTTTTCTATTTCACTGAAGACTCTAAAACTTTGAGTTTCATCCAAAGCTTCTCTGTAAGCCCCCACTGTCCACCTAGACTATTCCTGATCTCAGCTGGGGAGAGATATTTTCACTGAGCAACAATAAATGAACACCATTTCTTCCCTTTACAGAGGATGATTCTTCCAGAAATCTGGCTCCTGCAGAAGGAAAAGCCCTGAATGTTAAACACCCTCCTTGTGCAGCTCTCCATGAATCACCCTGCAATTACAAAGCCTTGATAGTTCATTTTAGATGACTCATTCCATAGATTTACATGGAGGAGAGTGTGACCTTGCATTAAAAAAAGAAAATAACTTTCTTGAATTCAGGAAGAATAAAGAATTCTCCTATTTTGTATTATACATCTATTACCACTGAAGCCAGAGCCCTGGTGGTACACTGGTTAAGCGTTGAGCTGCTAACCAAAAGGCTGGCAGTTTGAATCCACCAGCCGCTCCTTGGAAACCCTATGGGGCAATTCGACTCTGTCTTATAGGGTTGCTATGAGTCGGAACTGACTCAAAGGCAATGAGTTTGGTTAGTTTTCCATTGAAGCTGGCCCATCAAAAGCACCCGCTCCCTCCTGTTGAGAATCAAGGTGGCTTGTGTAGTTAGAGGAATACGGTTTTATTTTTGATCCATAAAGACAATGTCATAATCATTATGACATAAGCACAGAAAGTCAGCAAAAATACAGCTTGTTTATCATGCTTTTGTTAAATCTTTCTATAATGGCTGTTTATTTTAAAGTGTATTTAAAAAATCTTACTGTATTCTGTAGTCTAATAAAATAGGGAGAAACGATCATCCCTTAAGTACACACATCCCTCAGTCTGTTATGCTACACATACTTACATCACTCTGAATTTGATTCACATTCTTGCTATGCTCGAGACTCAGGGCATCAGGTAGGTATGTGTAGCGATGTAACGGCTGTTTGTAGTTGACATTGGTGGCAACATCCTGGGCCATCTTTGCAGCTGTAATGCTGACCATGTCCCCAGGGGTATGATAGCTAGTTTTGGTGTTCTCGTAGTTCTTCTTGTATTCACGATCAGACTGCATCTTTGCCACATTCATATAATGGACTAGTTTGGGATCGTCTTGGAGACTTCTGAAACCCACATGCTTTCCCCTTGACTTTTCATAAGCTTCCTTGTATTTATACTACAGAGACAGAATTTGGTTAGCAAAGCTCTAGGCATTTATAACAGTTGGCGCAGCAATTATATTCAGATACAAAGGCACCCAGAACATTGTGACTTTCTGGAAGACTGTATGCAAAATACAAACCACACACCCTCCAGAGTGTTTAGAGTGAAAGCATTTATTTCAAACACTGCTGGGATTTCAAGGAGGTGTCATGATAAATTCTGAACAAGTTTCTTTTCTTTGCTATGAATCCTACAGATGATTTGCATAAAGAGCTTTTTAAAAACCAACTGAATGTTCACTTTTAATATGAACATGACATGTTAAAAATATAAAACCAATATCTCTTGGTTTCTCAGAATGTGAATTACTAACCCAATGTTATTTCACATCACTGAGTATTAGAAATTATTGAGGAATTCTTCTATTTTCTATTCCCTTTGGCCTAGTGATATATGCACAAAAGATGCAGAAGAGAACGCTAGAGAAGTCTATACGCAAGAAGTTTATGCTAAGATCCTGCTAGGGTGAGGGGTAGAAAACCAAGGCTTCAAACCAGTTCATTCTGGTTCAAACTCTTGCTGAGAATTTGCATTCCCATCCCAGATATATTGAATCAGAATCTACATTTTAACAAGATCTTTACACCTGGGGATCTTGTTAAAATGTGGATTCTGATTCAGCATATCTGGGATCGGAATGCAAATTCTCAGCAGGGATTCTAACTGAACCGAACCGATTCGAAGCCCTGCAGAAAGCATTACTGTGTTTGCTGTCTCAGGGTGACCTAATATAAGGTTTAAACAAAAACCCTTTTCTTCCCAGGTGGCACCAATTTAAAGGTAGTGGGGCCTTCAGCCACCCCATTTCTCAGCAGCTACTTTTCAAACGCGCTGCTGAAGCAGCTGCTAATGAATTCAGGAGCTACGCTAAGGGCAGGAACTGCTGTGGGCTTCTCCCATCAGTACAAACTTGATGGCAAAAGCTCTGCTGCCAAGGTCGCTCACTGCTGGGCTCAGCAAGAGAAATGCAGTTAGAGTTATACTGTAACAGGTCAAAACCCCAATTTTTACACAAGAGAATACAAATCCACGTCAGCCCTGCAGATACTCTGTGCCTGCCATATAAACCCTAATTTACAAATAAGAGTTGAGCAGGTGAAAGGGATTATCAAGTAATTTCTAGGCAGGCTAGAAGAATAATGGTGCAAGTGCTAAAAAACCGATAAACTCATACTTTAGACTTTCACTTTCTTCTTAATACTAGAAACGTATCTCGTAGCGATGTGCATTGTATGCAAACCTTTGAGGAAGACATTTTCAGTACATGCCTACAAGGAAAGCAGGAGAGTTCTTACACCCTATCTCCAGTGTGGTCTGTACAGATGGTTGGTTTCTTTCTTCCAGATTTTTCTCAAGCCAAGTTTGTAGCCCGTGGAATGGTGTGTGAAAGTCAAGTGCATGCTTTTTGAAAATTTTGTTTTTCAAAGATGAGATTAAGTATAAACGTGTATTTTTTCTATTACAGATGAAATGGGCATCAATTTGCAAGAATCAGAAAATTATATCCTAGAAAAGCGGGCTTTTTCCCATCTGGCTTATAAAAATCTCTACATTTTAAAAGAAACTTTTTTAAATTTTCTTAATGCAGTTATAATGCAGGCAGTCATCTGAATTTAACGTGTTCCTGTCAGTCGGGTGTTCCCACTGAAAATGAATGTGGGCTGTCAGGGAAATGTGTCAGGGAAGGTAATTTGGGCGATGAATCAGGGAGAAAGCCGCTGTCAGATTTATGACAGCTCTACCAAGTAGGGTCAACTGGAAAGAGCATAAAAGCATTGAAAAAGTGACAAGTTTTCAAAACAATATTTTCTGGAGAATCAGAATGTCATTAATTCAACATATTGTTTTCAATGAGGTATCATTTAAACAAACACACATTTGATAGCTTTTAGAAAAGGCAATCACTCAGATTTCACCAAAAATTTTTACTCACATCACTGGCAATGTTTCTTGACGCCTTGGCCGCAGTGATGGGAATAGCGTCACCCAGCACATTGTTGCCCTTGGCTATTAAATCATGCCAGTCCCGTTTATAACATACCTGTGATGGAAAAGCAAAAAGGATGTCAACATGCTGTGTATTAATCAGCTAAAGGAATTCCTCAGCTGCTGGGATTGTTTTGTTCTTTTCCAGATATAACCTACAGGAACCCCCTAGAGCACATAATGTTTTAGGAAGTCATATTAATAAAGCATAAGATCATTGGACTCTGCACTAATTATTCACTCAAATCTGGTTTAGGTACATATTGAAAAACCAGTAACCAGTTGCTGTCCAGTTGATTCCAACTCATGGTGAGCCCATGTGTGTCAGAGTAAACTGTGCTCCACACAGTTTCAATGGCTGATTTTGGGGAAGTAGATTGCCAGACCTTTCTTATGAGGTGCCTCTGGGTAGGCTCAAATCTCCAAACTTTTAGTTAGCAGCCAAGCATGCTGACCTTTTGCAACATACAGGGACTCCACATATTGAATAGAGATATTGAAAAACGAGAGTGGATCCAGTAATGAAGGGTTGGGAAACCATCACATATAAGGACTAATGGAGAAAATGAAGTTGCTCTGTCTTATGGAGACCTAGTGGTCAGCTTTAAAAATTTTAAGGCTGCCGTAAGAAAAAGGAATTTTTTTTATTTTTATTTTTATGGATGGTAACCTCTTCCATGGGCAAAACTAGAAAAACTGAGTAGAACTGTTAGGGGAATAGATTTCATGTGCTATGTAAAGAAAAATGTTATATCCATTAGAGCTGTCCTACACTTGAAAAGGCCGACTCAAGAGGAAAAGAACCAGCATCATGGGATATGCTTCAACAGAGCTATGTGGGAAATTTACTAAATAGTTGTCAAGGTCCCATCCTACTCTAAGATTCTATTATTTTATTTTCAGATTTCGATTTCACACCCTTTCAAAGACCCCACTTACATCACTGATATTGTAAGCATTGCACTTGGCCTGGAGAAACTGAGGAAGATCAGGACTCATTGTGCATTTATGCTTCACATCTTCACCTTTAGCTTTGTATAAGATCTGAAATGCACAACCACAAAAACAAAATGTATTACAGGTAGTGCAAAAAAAAAAAAATCCGTTAATTGAATACTTAAAGACAAACTTATAGGAGTTATTCCTCAGCACAAACCTCTACTATTTCTATTGTTAAAAATCATCAAAGACATTTGCCAATTTTTTAAAAACCTAGGCATCTTGTTTTCTCTAGAAACACTCAAGCTTTGTGTATTACAATAGCGAGACAAAAAAAAATCCATAAAAAAACAGAAATATCTGACTGCCAGAGATGAATGGAAAGTAAATTCAAATGTGAAGCTCAAACATGAATAACAGAATTCATCAAACCAGATAAATTCATTCTTTGCCAGTGGAGTTAATAGCTCTTAAAGGTTTTTTTCCCCAAGAGTAAAAAAGGTAGTTAGAATGAGTCTTTCACTTCTGCTAAAAACTTTCCAATTACAATTATATCAGTATAATCATATAATGACTTTCTCATAATATGAAAGCCCTTATGCATGATATCCAGCACACTCAAAAGGTTTATCATTATGATAAATATATAAATAAATTATATTTAACCGACTTTGCCATTTTAAAGAATTATATACACTTTTCACTGAAAGACATCAAAATATATAATGCAGCAATCTTATTGTACCTCTTCTTGGTAATGAAAAATAAATGAATTGCTTAATATTTAAAACTAAAACAGAATGGGAATCACAAGTAGATTTCTCATCTCTTATTTAGCATATAAACCCCCTTTTCCCAGGCATGACTATGTGAAATATCATATGTAGACTGGTGTGTATGTATCACAAGTAAAGTCTGAAATGGCTGATATCCCAATTAACCCCCCAATATTAAACAATTGCTTCTAAGAACCTAAGTTGTTGTTGTTAGGTGCCCACAAGTCAGTTGGTTCTGACTCATAGAGACCCTATAGCTTTAATTCCTCGCTGCCTTTAAGACCCATAGCTAAGTAGTCAGCAAATCCCACCAATTGTATCTTCTAAACATCTTCTTCCCCATTGCAGCTTCCTCAGTTTAAGTTCAAATAAGGCTTCCCCTGGACTTTGTAACAGATTTCTAATCAATCTCTTTGCCTCCAGCCTCTCCTCTCTCCAATACAATCTCTGCACTTTTTGCCAGCGTTATCTTTGAAATGACAGATTTGATCATGTGACTCCATGGATTAAAAACCTTCAACACTTCTTGTTACCTATGCTGCGATGTCCAGGCTCCATAAATTAGCCTATAAGAACCTCAATGATCTGGTTACAATTCTGAACCTTTGACTCACCTCCCATTTATTCCTTGACATTTATTACATAGTTCCTTTTGGCAGGAATGTGCCCTTCCCTTAATTTCCGTCGTACTTTGCCCATGCCTCTCCTGCAGTATTCATCTCTTGCCATGGCAATGCTCTGTTTATATGTGATCCCTCCCACTAGTCCTTGTCTATTTCAACTTTATACCATCAGCGCATAATACAGTGCCTGGCACATGGTAGGTGTTCAAAACATTCATTAAGTGAATTTATGAATGAATACTTTTGATGTCCCTTTAACTCTGCTATACACCAAATTTTCCTTTAGATCTGTCTTTAGCCAGAGGATACACATTGCTCATTGACAGGCAGCTAAACAGTATATAACCTCCACCAAGACATAAATAAAAAAAGGCTCTGTAATACAGTAATCCTCCTCCTCCCACCCCATCAGTGGTTTTGCTTTCCATGGTTTCAGTTAACTGCATCCGAAAATGTTAAATGAGTACATAGCCTAATGAAATCACATGCTGTCCTTCTCCAGCATTCATATAACTTTATTACAGTATATTGTTATAATTGTTCTATTTTATTATGAGTTATTGTTGTTAATCTCTTACTGTGCCTAATTTATACATTCAACTTCGTCATAGATCTGTATGTATAGGATAAAACATAGTATATATAGGGTTTGGTACTATCCGAGGTTTCAGGAATCCCTGGGGGTCTTGGAACATATTCCCCGCGGATAACAGGGGATTACTCTAATCATGCATGATGAATTCTGAGGAGCAAAGACTTGTATGTATAATAAACAGAATCATTATATCCTTGTATTAATGTTTTATATATGAAAAGCAGATATGAGCAACTTAATATAGAGTTGAATAGGATGAATTCGCCACAATAAAGTGGCTGGGATCTAAACTTAAAGTCTGTGTGGATGTATGGTGTATGGATGTGTGCAGTGCCAAAGTAGAGTTTTTTGCAACATGTCAAATTTATCCAAAAGCACAGTAGTTCAAGAGCAGTTAAAAAGGAGTTTTAAAAACGTAGTTAAAAAGCAAAACAGAAGAAAAAGAGAATGTTAGTGCCAAAACTAAAAGTAACAATAATTTTATTTGTAAATTAAACAAATAAAATAATTTTAAAATAAAAAGTTATTGGCTCAGAAGAATAAGAATTTTGAGATGACGTTTATTTTTAAAAAACACCTCCCTTCACATCCTCTGCCCCCTTTCTTTTGCAGTACTCACATCGCTAAGCTGCTTCGTGTTCTGTTTGGCCTGAACCATAACTGGAGAGTCAACAATGCTGGTAAATTTGAGGGTGTCCGGATGCTGCCTGTACTTCTTTTCATTCAGGGCATCTCCCGCCTTTCTAACTTTTTCTACGTCAAGACTGCCAATAGGGATCCAGCCAATGCCTTTCATCCAGGAGTTATAGTCTTCCTTGTAGGCATTCTACAGCAAAGAAAGGAAAGAGGAGTGAGTGTTCAGGCAGTGGTTCCTCTCCTGGTAAGCTCTGAAATTGGAGGGGGATTCTCCTGCCAAGTCAACGTCACTTACATCACTCTGTATGTACATCATGTTTTTAGACAACTCCAGGCCCATGGCATCAGGCAGGTAGGTGTAATGATGGAGAAGATGCTTATAGTTGACATTGCTGACAACATCCTGAGCTTTCTTAGCTGCCACAACGTTGAACATGTCATGAGGCGTGCTGTGCTTGGTCTTTGTCTTCTCATAGTCTTTTTTGTACTCCCGGTCTGATTGTAGCTTGGCCACTTTCACATAGTGAACCAGTTTTGGATCATCTTGTAGACTTTGGAAACCAATCATTTTCCCTTTGGCTTTTTCATAATCTTTCTTGTATTGAACCTGTTACAAACCAAGATGGGCATATTTTAAAATGTAGTTATGAAGATTTTACTAAATAATAAGGGCATGATTTGCAGGAATTGAGTTTCCCCCAAATCACTCTACTTAAATAACAAAACAATTGGATATTTAACTGCATATATTTTGAAATACAGCCAGGTTTTTTGAAAAAAAAGTTATTTAGAACCCATTTGATTGGCTGTAGCTGCTTCTGCCACCCCATCTGAGAGAGGCCGTGGTAGCGGTGTTACCATAATTAATATAGTGACAATATAAATCTCTATATTGTTCCTTTTCAATTAGACACTTATAGAGAAAGATGAAAAGATAGATATTTCAAAATCCCTACCAATTATATTGTACTGCTAAAGAAGTAGACCCCCAAGTAGCTGGCTACTTGATTAGAAGAGAATTTTATTTAGTCTTTGAATATTCATGAGCGCTGGTGGCAGAGTGGTTTAGAGTTTACCTGCTAACCAAAAGGTCTGCAGTTCTACTCTGTCCTATAGAGTTGCTGTGAGTTAGAATTGATTTAATGACAATAGGTTTTGTTCTGTTTTTTGGATAGTCAATGGAAGACTCAGAGCCAGTAGTGGGTAAAATGTGCTGAATAACAAAGTGAGGAGAATTGAGCTTCCTTGCGGGGAGATCTAGAGAGGATCTAGAAAACTGAGAAACAGAGATGCGAGGGAAGGGGTGTGTGTGTGAGAGAGAAAGAGATGGAGAGAGACAGAAAGAGAGGTATGCAACCTGTTAGAAGATAGCACCTACAGAGAAAGGGGGAGGCAGAGAGAAATTCTGGGTGGCAGGACTTTAAGGACAAGAATCTTACTATTAGATCTGAACATACTCACATTGGTGTAATGTAAACCTCTTCCTCATTTCAAACAACCAGTAAAATTATGTTTGGGACTTGGGGAGAAATAAAAAAGAAAGAGCTATGTTCTATCTCTGGGTCACGCAGAGCAGAAAGAGAAGTAGATCCAGAGGAGAGAGGACAGGTGAGCTAAAGAAGCCAGTTTGTACAAACCAGGAGCCAGAGTGGATCAGAAGAATGAAAATCTCAGAGTATTTGCAGAAATCATGAGGGAAGTTGTCCTACAGGACAAGAGGTGGGGGCCTGAACCAATTTTATTTAAATCTCAAAGAGCATAGTGTCTTCAGTTCACATCTGGGCTGAAGCAAGACAGGATAAGAAATAAAATTCATAACTTTAATAGAATCTAATGACTGATTATTAAAAAAACAAAACCAAACCCACTGCTATCGAGTCGATCCCGACTCATAGCAACCCTATAGGACAGAGTAGAACTGCCCCATAGAGTTTCCAGGGAGCACCTGGTAGATTCAAACTGCCAACTTTTTGGTTAGCAGCCATAGCTCTTAACTACTACACCACCAGGGTTTCCAGACTATTAGGGTCTATAAAACCCGAGTCTTTAGAAGCAATGAAGTAAAAAGAGAAAATTAAGAGAAAGAGGGAAATGATATAAATTAAGAAAGTTTTGATTTAAAAAAATTTACCATCAGGAGGCTATTATGACCTAAATAGTAAGTAATTTTCTTTATTTCCACAAGAGACATAGCATGAATTTGTGCAGAAATTGAGATGAGAATTTTAACTTAGGGTACTTGATTAGAACTTATCAGTAAGAGGTTTTGCAAAGTCTTTGTCCCAGGAAAATTTAAATCAAGTGTAGGGCACTTTCTTTCCTGAATAATTTTCAGCCAGATTTGCTTCTGCGGACATGGACAACAGACATGGTGACTTTCTGGTAATCAGCTAGGTCACAATTCCATGCCATTCACGTTTTCTAGTTACTCAAGTGGGACCACCAGCTGGACTTACATCACTCGCCGCCTGCCTGGCAGCCTTGGCAACTTTGATTGGAATTGCATCAGTCCTCAGGTCATATCCCTTCTTGCTCAAGTCTTTCAAGTCCATTTTGTACATATTCTGAAAGAAAAATACCATTTGAATACAATTTAGAGGCCACCTTAGAAAAGGCTTAGCACACACAGCAGCAGTGTTCACACACACACCTCACTGATATTGTAGGCATTGACTTTAGCCTGAATGAACTGGGGCAAGTCAGCTGGCAAGTTGTATTTGTGAAGAATTTCCTCTCCTTTGGCTTTGTAAACAATCTAGAAGAGAAAATAAATAAACACACACACACTTACAAATAAGCAAACAAATAAACAAAGCAAAGAAAAGCACTAATGGTGCAGGGAAATTTTCAGAGTAGATCATCCTGTATAGAAGTGTTCTTTATGAAAGACACTGTCTGTGACATCCCCATATTCAATTGTAAATATCTGTAGTCATTCAAGGGCTCATATGCAATTCCACAGGGTCCTGTTGTGGTTCTGGCTGTGTCTTGGCAAAGATCCCTTGGTATGCACTGGGAACCTCTGGACTTAAGTAGGGGCACCTTGTGGAAGTGAGCCCAGAAAAGGAGACCTGATGAAATGTTAACCTACAGATACTTTCCTGAGGAAAATAGGAAAGGAGGCTAGGTGGAATATACCAACCACCTATACCTGTGGACTATTAAAAGGACTTTAAAGGGAGTTTTGACTATATGTAATTTTTGTCTTAGCTCTCACTTAAAATAACTCTTCTGTATGATGTAGTGCTAATATTCATTCTTTCTGGCTTGTCCTAGAAATAGACTTGTAGTTTTTCTTGTTATTCAAAGAAGCTCCTCTTACCTTTTCCTTGGAAAACAATGTCAAATATCAGAAAGGACAGTCAATACTATATAATATTGTGCGCTTGCACATAATGCTGTAAAGAAATGAATTGGGTGTGCCATATTAATGAAAATCTGGGGCAGTCATACAGTCGCTTAGGTAATTGGGGCTATTTAGATTGCATAATGAACCTAGGTGGTCAGTACCCTTGAAATACATATATTTGTATCAGTTAACATTTGCTTAGTTAACATTTATTAACATATAGACAGAATGAACACTTACATCGCTCCTCTGGGCCTGGTTGATTTTAGACTGTACTGTGATAGGAGCGTCTTCAATCGAGGTGAACTTGAGAGTGTCTGGTTGTTGGCGGTATTTTTTCTGTTTGGCAAATTGAAAAAAGAAAAACAATTCTATTACTTTTCACCAAAGGCTAACATGTCAAAGTCTTGGAAATTTATTTTGGATGGACAAGGGTGATGTTTTCCTTACTTTACTATAAAATATAAAAATACTAGATTCTTGGTTGGCTTGAAAAAAAATGAATACAATGCCAAAACTAATGTTTAAAAAATCAGTTTAATTTCAGATGGTCTGGGGCAGTACACACCAATACAACTCTCAGGAATCAGGCCTAGTCACTAATTTCTTGCTTATGACATGAAAGAAGGCACTATAGGCTGAGAACAGAATCCAGAAACATCACAAAGTTTCCTAAAGGATTAATAGAAAAGCCAGTAAGGAGATTTGGAGTGTTTTTTGCAGGACATTAACAAGTTCTCAGAGACGTGATTTTCCCTGGAGTACAGAAGCTCTCTGTTTGAGGAGGAGGAATTGAAGAACTAGAGCAACAGGTAGGATTACTAAGAGAGAGAGGACTTTGTTTTGCAAACCTTGATGGAGTTAGTATAGAGGTTATTACTAAAGTGCTGAAGGGACACAGGAGACATTGGGAAGGTGTCCCACTGGGGAGCTAGTAACTTCTAGTTACCCTTATTTCAATGTAGATTATTCCTGTTCTAATCTACATTGTGGTGATGAGTGCACAATTTAAATTTACATGTATAAATTTATTAAAACTTGTCAAACTGTACACTTAAAATTGGTGAATTTTATGGTATATAAAGTTGTTAAAATATTTCTATCATAAATGGTTACCATAAATAATTTCGGTGATACAGAGTGGTATGCCTGTCTACCTGGATAATTCATGCATGTGGTAAATTTCTTTCCTCAGCAACAATTACTAGCAGATGACACTGTAAAGGAGGCAATTCTCATGGTTTCGAGGATTTTTAACAGGGCATGTTCACAAATTTCTCAGTAAGACACAACTGGTGGCTTTACCTCATTAAGAATGTCTGAAGCTCTCTTAGCCTTTTCCATTTCTAAGGATCCATATGGAACCCAGCCACAACCTTTCATCCCGCTATTGTAGTCAGCTTTGTATTCAACCTAAAACATCAAGAGAAAGGTATGTTTCTTTGCTCAGTGCCATCCTTATTAAGTAAAATCATTAGCATGTTACCGAGAATGGTGTTTTTAAGATTTCTCATCAGGTCCATTATTCCATACATTAAGGTTATTTTAAACATTTCCTTGGTGAGAGATATTTACAGCCCTCAAGTTTTTGCTTCTCTTCTAATTGGTATATATTTCATTCCATCCTTATTTCCAACTGAATGGAAGTATATGGAATTCTAATACCAATCTGGAAAATGCTAAATTCAAAGCTGTATTTAAAAGAGTAAATGAAATTGTTACATTTAGATAATCAAATGTGACATGTTTGCTCACTGGAACTTTATTTTGTTTCTGTGGTCAAATTAGGACTGAAGGCCACATTGAAGGTGGATAATTTTAATCATTTTCTGATTAGATAAGGCTTGATAATAGTTATTTGTAATAAGTGTTTGCACACACTGATCTTTATGTGCAACGGCCGGCTTAGGGGTGTTTCTGCATTGGCTAATGACATACTTGAAAGCAGTTGCACTGGTGAATTTGCTTATTGGGAAGCAATTATTATCTGGAATTAGTTCTACTTTGGAGGCATTTACTTGATGCTACTAAAATAATGAGCAATGCTTGTTGTCTGGCCATAGATACTTGTACTCTAAATTCTTGTACTCTAGATTCTTGCTCTTTAGCATGGGGCTTTTAGTGGAGAACCATTGATAGAATTAATGAAAAATCAAGAAAGAAATTGGTTCCAGCCCATGAGATACTTACAATCTATTTAAGAAGAAGAAATATAGCAAAATTAAACAAATAACAGATAAGATTGTAATGCATAAAATAGAATTATTAGGGAAAAGTATTCAATTGTGTAGCTCAGACAACTGACCTGCAGAAAGAAAAACAGATATTATAAAAGTTGGAGCTGTAAATGATAAAAGAATTTTCTTTTCAGAAAATATAGCAATTTATGTAATATTATTGATAATGATGAATGTGATGATTATAATAATGGTTATGGTAATAGTGAATGTTTATTGAGAACTAACTAGGGCCAGGCAGGGGAGCAACGTGAGACTCAGCAAGGTTAATACCTTTCCCAAAGGGAGACAGTGATGGAGTGCACGCAGGACCTAGGTCTCCCTAACACGGACAGGTGTGCTCTTATGAAACCACAAGGGAAAGTGTTTCCCATTACATACTTGCTATATAGACAGGACAAAGTCAACCAACTTATGCAGATACCTCTGAGAAGTGCCAAAAATTGCTTGATTTAGAAATCATTTTTAGTTTCCACCTTAGAAGGAAAGAATAGAGAAAACCTGGTAACTCACATCGCTCTGCAGTGCATAAGCCTTTTTGGCGAGGTCCACGTTGATGCTATCTGGTGGGTAGCTATAATTGTGTATGAGATGCTTATAGTCCACGTCACTGGCAATTGCCTGAGATTGCTTTGCATGAGTGATTTGGACCATATCAAGCGGTGCCGTGTAGATCATTTTTGACTTTTCATAATCTTTACGGTATTCACGCTGTGAATAGGAAATTACCATTTATTACCACACATCCTTAATGGATTTCTAGAAAAGCACAGAGATCTCTCTTAAACAATAAATACAAGTTCAAGAAACAGACCCAGATATGTGAGTAGTTATTTTGCCCTAAAATTTGTTCATGTATTACACATTGCTGAAACTGCCTAGAAAATCATATGTGGATAGAGCTTTGCAAATTTCTTTTAGGTCAAAGAGCAACTGTCAGAAAGTCAGAGCAGACACAAGGAATGCACCCTGGCTTCTGCTTCAGCCAGAGATTATTTTTTCTTAAACAGGGTTTTTCAAGGACCACTAACAGATGTTATTACTATTAATGTAATCTAACCTCTGGAGTGTTTTCAATAAAGAAGCATTTTTTTAAAAGAATGAAAATTATATGACAACCATTTCCTACTTCTGATGTTATAAAATCACTATTTCATAAGTAGGGGTGTAGACTTAATTTTTTGGCTTTCCTAGAGTCATTTTTAAATGGATAGTTACTGATTTTTCAACCTGACTGTAACACGTTTGACAGTAGTTCAGCCCCGCTGAGAATCCCTAAGGTTTTTTCATACCAAGTTTAATTTTGGTAACAATTTAAAAGAAGCTTCAGATTGCAGCAGTTATAAGACCTCAAAGGAGAAAAGTTTGTGAAATGAAAACATTAAAGTAACCTTGGTCCTAATGTACAGTGTTATCATAAACCAAATGTCTTTACTGGGCCTCAGGAGGCACGTTCATTGGCTGGTTTTCTGGACTAGTTAGATGGGATGCTAATTAGGTCAAAGTCCCAGCTTCATCATTATTCACCAGTTACCTTAACAAAGAGAAAAATTTCTGACCCACTGCCTTTAGGAAGATTCTAAATCCATCCTATCTCCTCGTGACCACCTAAACGTTAAAAAGAGTGACCCAAGCTAGCAAGTGTAGATGTGCGTTATAAATCCATAGCGATTCCTTTTGCTAATGATTAAACCTTTTAGCTTTCCCTTTTGACATTTTATGGTTAGGCACTTCCACTAAATAGAATATTTTCAAAATAATTTTACAGTATTTTTCATTGTAAAATCTTTTATGAAAATAAAACATACTTTCTGATGGTATGGAAGAACATACCAAAATAAAGACTCCTTATCTTTATTAGAAATAAAGCAATGTGGCAAAGGAGTTGGTGATTGGAAGTGTTCTTGACTAAATTGTTTTGACTCTTGTTCGTGTTCGTACCAGCTCACACATATCAGGACATATGAAATGTTGACAAAGATCCAAATGGCTTTAAAAAATCTCTTTTAAAAGCTATGGATGTTCTATATCTGCAGCTTGGCATTTAGCCTGGGTATTATGTGAGAATGATTAATTGACTATCTCTTTTTGTCATCAGCATCAATCAATGAAAAAGTATTTATTGAGCACTTATTATGTGCCCAGTGCTCTGATGGGTTCTGTGATAGGACTGGAAACAAAAGACAGATGTATGGTCCACAAGGAATTATAACCTTCTTGAGTTGAGAAGGGGCAAGCAACTAGTGAACAAGATAGTGTTATGGACGTGAGCACTGTATACTGACAATCTAGTATTAGAGAAAATCACTCAATGGGATAGTTTAAAGTGCTATGTGACTACATAGTAAGCACAAAATGAGGTAAAGAAAGTATATATAGATCATTACGAGCACCTGTTAAAATTAAATGAATCAAGTGCCCTTCTTTTTTATCAGGAAAAATGGTAATTTGCAAACTGTGTTGAGCATTCTTGCAACTCTTAAGGGATTATCTAAACATCTTTTAAACACAATATATACTGTATATAAATAAATTTACTGTATATAAATTGCAATAGTAGATATTTGCCGCTCTATAGTAAGAATTTTAACCTGAAGATGATGGACAATCCAGAGACACACCTTAGGGAATCCATGGAGTCCATGAAATTTAAGGCAAAAGGCATGGAAAAAAAAATCATTTTTCTAGACAGATGGTCCAAATCTTTTATCAAACTATCAAAGGAGTCTATAATCAGCTATTTTCTTGAACCTAAGCCAATACTAAAACTGATAAAGAGTAAAGATAGCTATACTAAGATTTTTATCTGTGACTCCTGATTTCCTTCCAAAGTAAAGACAGTTCTAAAATCATCATTTTAAAGGATTTTTCCAACTAGAAATAAATATAAAAACATCTGATTATGTTTTCCAAAAGGTTTTAAAAATTAAGATCCATATTCTACTAAATATTAATATATACATTTTTCAAAGCAAAATGGACATCAAGTACAATTCAATAATTTCTCTCCTCAATGTGCAAGGTGCAGGAATCTGGGAAATCATTCTACCTCTAAAGTTCTCCCCAGCAGTTTGCTGTTGTGAGAGATCCCACAGTTATGGAATTCTTTTACATGGGCATATTAACTGGGAGGCCATCTTGAAAACAACACAGTTTTACAAAAGTACTCACATCACTCTGGTTTTTGGCTGTTTTCAAAGAGTGCAGCATCTTGGGGTCATCATTAATGCTGAGGGCTCCAATCATTTTCCCTTTGCTTTTTTCAAAGTCTTTCTTGTACATCACCTGCAATGACATTACACATGTTAGCAAGATTCCACTCATCAAGAAGAATCCCTGAGGCCCCTGCCCTGGACACTGGGCATACTCACATCACTGACGTTCCTGCTGTTGGCTTTGGCTGCCAGCAGGGGAATGGCGTCCACTTTAATGTCAAACTTCTTAGCTTTGCTCTTCTCCCAGTCATGCTTATAAACATTCTGGACAGAAATATTTTAGCACAGAAATTTTAAGAACAACATCTAACACAAACAAATCCAATAAAATTGACAACAAAATCAAAACTGACATTTTACATATACAGAATTATTTCACCTACAAATATTATATTTACCAAAGGGCAATGTAACTATTGATTCATCTGTCATCCAGCTTCTTTCCCTCTACCACTAGGTAAGTGTACTATATGTTTTCTAATGATCTATGAACTTTCTAAAGACTCTGCTGTCTTGTTGTATAAAGGATAATATAAAATGACAACCACTTTGGAGAAGGTAGAGTGTGATATTCGCATAGTAAATTAGGATTAGCAGAGGGATAATTGAGACAATGTATTTGATCATTAGAGACCATGGAAATGCAATCTGATAGCTAAAAAGAGCAAGTTCATTTGGACTTTAAAAGCTCCACTTATGGCAATCTCAGTGGTTGTCTCCTAATACAGTCTTCTGAACAATTACGTAACATTTCCTCTTTTCACACGCACAGGGACAAAGGCTTCTGTGGCTTTGGTACTTACATCACTCAGGTTATAAGCATTGACTCTATGTTGGATAAACTGTGGAGCATCTGCAGGTACATTGCACTTGAACTTCTCACTTTCATGTTTTGCTTTGTAATTCAGCTGAAAAATAAAAGAGGTAGGAACTTTCTTGAAACAGTATAGATACCTCAGGGATTATCTGGGTGGTGTAAATGGTTAAGCGCTCAACTACTAGCCAAAAAGCTGGTGGTTGAAACCCTCCCAGAGGCACCTCAGAAGACAAGCCTGGCGATCTGCTTCTAAAAGGTCACAGCTTGAAAACCGTATGGTGCCGTTGTACTCTGTGTATATGGAGCCATTAGGAGTCGGAATCGTCTCAATGGCAACTAACAACAACAACGTAGATTGCTAGGTCATTAGTACATTTTTTAGAAAAATGCCTCAGATTGATGCCAGTTGAAGTATCACACAGGGCCCAGATCTTACCAGCTCCCAGATCTTACCCCCTATTTCACTGGTTGTGGCATAACCAAACTTTGGGTTGCCATTTGGTGAATGCTATCATACTGCAGATACAGGAAACCCACTGTCTGATCTGAACACCTAGGCTACGCCTTGAGGGCATGACAACTCAAAACCTCTGGAACTCTGTAATCAGAGCACTAATAAAAACAATTCTAATTCTAAATAAAATACTAGCACAAATAAAGATATGTATAAATTCTTATTGCATAAAATATGCTAAATATTGGACTTTATTTTAAAAACGCTAAGGCAAAGTTGGCTGGAAGAAAGGCAGAGCAAGAAAGAAAGGAGGCTGTTGAATTCTAGAGCTAAGGACAAAATGCACAAGATGGAGAACTGTGAAATAAGCACCTACACGACAGAGCCCGAGGCATACCCTAGCCAGGAAGAAGAGCAAGTGGTGAACGGGCGCACGTACAGTACCATATTCCTCACAGCTTGCCTAGCTGTGCTGGCTCAGTGTCAATTGTGTTTAGCTGTTCTTTCTTAGTGCACATAAAATTAATATATTAGGAAAAATTGCCTATGAACCAAAGCAACTTCTCAGTTATAGCAGGATGATTTGTATATTTTATTTTTGTATTATGAGAAGAATGTGTTACTCTTTAGGATTTTGCTGCGCTAGCACCTTGTTACTGTGTGTATCTGGTGCACAAACTGGCCACCAATGTCAGCATCACCTGGGAATTTATTAGAAAGCCCAGAATATCAGCTCCCATCTCAGATCTACTGGATCAGAATCTGCATTTTAATGGGGTCCCGAGTTATCGGCATGCACATGAACATTTGAGAAGTACTGCTGCTCTTCCCCTCATCTTGCCATGGCTGGACCATTCCTGCCTTTGACCTTCTCTGACCACCCAATGAAAAGTGCCTGTCCACTCACTCTCTAACATCACCTTATTTTAATTCTGTATCATCATCCTATGTTGGTTTTATTATCATTGCCTGATATCGTTCTGATTTCTGTGCTCTCATTCTTTGTTTAAAGTCTTGTTAGCAAACCAAGAATGGGAAATGCTTGCCTTGTTACCTACCCAAGGGGATACTTCTGTTATCTTTGTTTATTGAAATTGACATGAAGTTTTAGTGTGCATTATTTTTGGTATGGAACAGATCCTAGCAAGTAAGGTATTCCTAACAAAAATCGGTAACTCACTGAAGAAATAGTTGCGCTTTGTCATTGTCTAACACCATTTTTCCTGAGGCTACAATTTATCTGGCAGCTTTTTTGCATTGTATTAAATAAACCTTGAAAAATATCATTATTGGGATAGTAGATGAGTTCGTGAAGAATTAAGAAGCATTTAAATGCTTATGTTTCAAAGAAGCAAAGCATTCTGGATAGCCCATTCTTGGATAAACCAAGACACTTACATCACTAAGTTGTTTCGTATTGAGCTGGGCTTGCAACTGTACAGGAGAGTCAGTGACGGCCGTGAACTTGGTCTTATCTGGATGAACTTTGTAGGTATGCTGGAAAAGAAGACATTCTTAAATGAAATTTCTGAATACACCTTTATATTCTTGTTCCTATGCATACTAACATGTAAAAATTTTTCCACCAAAGCAAATATAGCTTGTTTTGTTCTTGAAATCTTGCTTCATATGTTCTCACCTCTCTCTTTATTCTCTCCCTGTTTCTGTTTCTCATTCTCTCCTACAGTTGCCCTTTAATTAGTCTCCCTGCTACCACTCAGCCACCAGATTAATCTTTCTGCTGCTTAAACCCTACAATGGCTCTCCAGTATAGTTGGTATTTAATCTAGACTGAACCTTGATCCAACCCCTGCTTTGTCTCCTGCCACTTCACCTCCTACTACTGTCCACATCCCCAGTATGTTCCTGCCATCTCATCCTTTGAATTCTTGAACATCAAGCTCATTCCCTCTTTAAGTTGTTCTTTCTGCTGGTTTTTGCCTGGTTTAGGCATGGCTGGACAATTGCTGCCTTCAACCTTTCTTGACCATCCATTGTAAAGTGCCATTCACTCACTCACTTTCACGTCATCCTATTTTAATTCTGCATCTTCATCCTATATTAGTTTTCTTATTACTGCCTGATATCTTTCTGGCTTCCAGACTCTCTTTCCTTGATTTTTGTCAGTCTCTCTCACTAGAGAGAGTATGCTCCACAGGAGGCAGACCTGGTCGGCCTTGAGCTCTGCTGTTCTGCAGCACCAAGGACAGTACCTGGCACAGTTAGATCCTCAATGTAAATTTGTTGAATGAATGAACTTCTATCTTCCATAAACTTCCACAGCCTCCCTTTGCCCTATATCCATTACATTAAATAATGGAAATGTTTTTTAAAACCTGAGCTTATTTCGTAACAAATACCCTTCTTTGTAGTAATGTTTGTATTCCCCAACCTCACCCAAAAACCATAAGTTTAGATTTCATAACTCTTGCTAACCGCTAGATGCTAACATGTTAACTGCTGCTAAATTTGCCACTAGATGTCACAAGAATCCCAAACCCAATTTCAAGAATTCACAGCAGCTGACTTACATCTTTACACTGGTCTAGCTTCTTGATTGCTTCATATTCTTGAGTTATTGTCTGAGGGAAGTAGCATTTCCCTTTATCTTCTTCATATTCTGCTTTGTAGTTTTTCTACAGTGAGAAAGAACAAAAATAGATCATGATTGTCATTGCTCCCAAACAATGTCACTGTGAGGCATGAACAATTGTCTTCAAACTTACGTCACTGTTTTGGGCGGAAACGTTCCTGCAGTGAATTTGATATGGGTCTTCAAAGCTGCCCACGTAATGTCCCAAGATATTCTTTACATATGAATCCTTATATTTATTCTGAAAAAGAAACCACATGTAACCCAAACTGTCAGTGATTTGCCAAAGAATAAGAAAGTCCTCAAGCCCCAGAAGTAATCGTGGTCGTTCGAACCTCGCCAAAGTTCTTCAGCAGAGTGTCAAGTTGATATTTAGGAGTCTCGCAGTAATTCACGCTCTTTGCCTTTGTCTTCTCATAGTTTTCCTTGTATAATCTCTGTCAAAGGGAACACAAAATTAGGGAAAGACAGCAAAAAAGAAAAATGCATCTCATAGAACAAAAATGTGTGTCATTCCTTTCCTTTAACCAAATGGACATATTTTGTCTTTTTCAGCATCCACTTTCCACAAAGCAGAAACACTGAATAAATATGTTTAGAGGCTCATATTTTGTATAATTTAGTATTCTAAAAACCATAAAACATTTATGTGACTTGTCCTAATATGCATCAAACTGAATAATTTAGAGCACACCAGTGCTATCTAAAAAAATTTTTCTTAAAATAATTATTGCCATTTGAACATACTTGGAGGAAAATGAATTTTTAATAGTTACTCAAAAATGAGGCATAAGGTACAAGGTGGACTTAAGATACTTAGGCACTGTCCCAGGAAAGCATTCAATAAAGCATTTGATGAAAACACTTTTTACGTTCACCTCTGGAAGTTGGCTTTTGTCATTAATGCCTACCATTTTACCTTGTAGCAATGATACCTGAAAAAAAAAATAGCTTTCTCTGCTTTATTGCATCTATCATATACTTCTTTATGATCTGTTTTAATTCTCCCTTGTAGAAATCCAAAAACATACATAATAAAGACAAAATTATTTGTAAATGATATGGACTAATTGGGAGTATATTTGTTTTGCTATTCATCGGAAAGTCTTTTTTTGTAAAGAGTTTTATTTTATTTTTAGTAAGTATTTTAAGGCCTTTAAAAAGGACTTCAATATTTTATAAAATTTTAAAAATAAATACTTTGTTT